ATCATTTCCCAGGTGCTTGCCCATGTCATGGCTTCCGGTCCCACGTTGTTGTGAGTCGTGGAGTCCCCTGGACCACTGGTTGTGTTCGCTGTTCCACTTTTCATGATCGCTTTTGCCCCCCCCCCCCCCTGTTCTGTACTCGCAGCATCCCGGGGTAACGGTAACGGTGTTGACTGCCGTTATCTCCGTTGTGGTTCCACGAAGTCAACTCTATTGCTTTGCGTCCGCTCCGCTGCTGGACTGTCTTGTGGCGTTGAGTTCCTCAAGATGGCGTCTAACTTTGTCTGTATTGCACATGAGCTCTCAGCCTGGTCCCTACTCATCGTATCCATTTTCGTTTCCAAACTCCCCAACTGGCTATTCACTGCGTCGTATCGTTGCTTCATTTCCTGCATGTCTTTTCTGATGTTCTTGTCTCGCTCTTCATCAGTGGTGTCTACTTTGTCCGACATCTGCTGAAGCTTTTCATCTGTCGCTCTCGCTAGGTTGAAATAGCTGTCCAGGTATTCATGTTTGTTGTTTCTTATTTCCTTCCTTATCACATCTCTATCCTCTTCGCTGTGCTTCAGTTTCTTGTCTATTTGATCTAGCTTTGCCATCAAATCACCTAACTCAAGAGTAGCTGTTCCATGGTCTGTTGTTGTCCTGTTGTCGGTTGCTGTTCCCGGTCTGATCTGATCTTCGTTTTGATCGGTGTCTGTCGTTCTTATGGAGACTGTTCCGAATGTTTTGCCTTTCTCGGCTTTCGTCTCTTCCATTACTGCGTCTCTCGACTTCATTCCGACCATTATCGCCAATCTTTCAGTAAAAGACGTTCTTTTTGCTTGAGACTCGTCCTTCACCGTTTCTGGCGTGTTGCCTGTTGTGTCTTCCACATTGTCTATCGGTGAGAACTCCATGGACTTTGGATTAGGTTCTTCCGCATGCGGCATCGGAGTTGATTCTGTCGTCTTCTTTCCCACCTCATCCACACTTTGGTCTGGTGTCTCTAGTTCAATCTCAATGGTGAGTTCTGCTTGCTTCCCTTCCGTGCCCTCTTTTGCTCTGTTCTCTGTATTACTCCTCGTATTGACCATGCTAACTGAAAAGTTCTTCTTTGTTATCTTTGGACCCATTGATGTCGTTTTACGTAGCGACGAGTTATATTTTGTCTTCGCTTCAGTAGATCTTTTTTCAGCCACCGGTACCCTGCTCCGCCTCATTATTTTTATTTACAATTGTTCCTATTTACAGTATTACTATCTACAAAATTCTACTCTAAGGTTAAAACCTGCTTTGAAAAAATTGATAAAAAGAAATTTACAATAAAAACAACGTTTCCTAAGCTTTTTGAAAATTCTATATGTTCTTGATCCCCACAGTACCGGATCTTTATGCCTGGTTAGAAAATTCAATTTTGCGATTGGTTACTTCAACCTGTCCTAGCACTCCTTAGTACCGTCACGCCCCTTCTTTATACTGTTCCTAGACTTCCTATCTACTGTCCCAAGACTATTCAGTTCTGTCCCAGTACTTCTTGTTAGTGTCTCAAGACCCTTGCCCTAAGACGACCGTCCCAAGACTAGTGTCCCAAGACCACTGTCCCAAGACTACTGTCCCAAGACTACTGTCCCAAGACCACTGTCCCAAGACTACTGTCCCAAGACTACTGTCCCAAGACTACTGTCCCAAGACTACTGTCCCAAGACCCCTGCCCTAAGACGACCTCCCAAGACTAGTGTCCCAAGACCACTGTCCCAAGACTACTGTCCCAAGACTCTTGCCCTAAGACTACCGTTCCAAGACTAGTGTCCCAAGACCACTGTCCCAAGACTACTGTCCCAAGACTACTGTCCCAAGACTACTGTCCCAAGACTACTGTCCCAAGACCAGTGTCCCAAGACCACTGTCCCAAGACCACTGTCCCAAGACCACTGTCCCAAGACCACTGTCCCAAGACCACTGTCCCAAGACTACTGTCCCAAGACCAGTGTCCCAAGACTGTGTCGTACCAAGACTGCTCTGGTCCAAGACTGTCCCAAGACTGCACCGTCCCCAGACTGTCCCAAGACTGCACTGTCCCAAGACCGTCCCCAGACTGCAATGTCCCAAGAATTCTTCGGTACTGTCCCAAGACTTGTCACTAAGTGTCTGGATAGTAGGATCTCTTCTTCTTCGTTGTGGGGACTCTTGAACCGCTGTACCGTGTACCACCACTTGAGCTCTAGTAAAATTTTCCCAAAATCCCTATCTTAATGGCCAAAATCCAAACACTGACCCCCCTGTATTTATCTCCCTTTCGTTGTTTCAGGCTTTTTGAAACCCCAACTTTTTCGCAGGTATCTTGTGATCACCTGTTCGTTCAAATACCAACAACAAACTTTCACCAAAACGTAAAAATTTAAACAGGAAAAATTTCAAAAACAGAGAGATGAACCCACCTGAAATTCAAAGTTGACAGATATCAACCTTTATCTGAAAAAATGTCTGGTACCCGATTGCCACGCGTTTTCCTCCCCCCTGCTAGCGATCTTATGGGGTATCACAAAAACTGTCTATGTCCGTTCCCCCCTACCGATCCGACCAGGGTACCTACCTTAACTCGATGTTAAATTTGGATATCCGCTTCTTATAACCAACGCGTGTAAGTATGTAATGTAACTAAATCGACGATGCCGAACAATTAGTTACTCTAATGTGTCCCCCCTTTTTGCAATTTACAACCATCAACCTCTAACCTAACCAGCCCCCCTTCTAACCTCCCCCCTCTTTAGCCCCCCTCTTAAGCCGAAAAATCCCTTAAGCGCCGGGTGCTAAACCTCTCGAGAGAAAACCGTAGACCTTTTTCCAAGCCTGCTTGTGTAAAAACTTCCTCAAAACAATGGGGCTCCGTTTATCCAATTTTACACTTACTTCCTATAATGTAATGTGGATTTTAACGATACCCGTTTGCCCAACTTGAGAACACCCCTGTGCGTCCTCTTCTTGCTGTAGTGATCCCATGCTGGTTGTCCCCTTGACGTGCACTGCACTTGACACCAGCACCACTTCCCCACTTGGCTGGTCACCTCTTCCAGTCAAGTTTCCTAGCGGTTCAGCTCAGTCTTTCTGAACCACTTTCCCACTCGGCTGATCACCTCTTCCAGTCAAGTCTCCTAGTGGTCCGGTTCTGTCATTGTGAACCACTTTCCCACTCGGCTGGTCACCTTTTCCAGTCAAGTCTCCTAGTGGTCCGGCTAGGTTGCAAGCTATCTGAAAACCCTTAACAACGCCCCCCACTCGGGCACCTTTTTGAAGTCAACGGTTTAGATTGCTGGATTGATCGAAACGATCGGTCTTATAAAACAGTATGGGTATACTATTTAATTAATATAAAGGTTTGATCCAACTCATCTGGTATCAAAGTCACTGTATTTTTTGTTTTATGGTTTTTGTTCCTTTTTCTATACTTTTTTCTTGTTTTTGTTTCGCTTTTTGTCTTTTTGCTCTTGTTTTTGTCCCCCTTGTTACTCCCCTCTACTCGGTTAGCTAGGCCTCGTTCGGAGAGCGTACCAGGAAGTTTTCTCAAGTTTTCTTAAAAAGCTATCACGGTACAACCGGAAGGCTTACACGTTCCCGCTGAACCGTACCACCGGTACTCTAGAATGGGCATGCAGCCCGGAGCTGTGTCAAGTGGGTTCGACTCCGTAGTCATGATGTCGTAAAACCACCCAGGAGCGCCATAAAAACACTATGTAACAGTCGCCTACTTTGGTCACAATTGAAGCTTAAGAAAAATAGGCCCTATAACCATTGGCTCAAGAGTCAGGGACACTATCTCTTGTGTTTTTCTACCTCAAAAACGGTCGGAGCCAATTCCGTTCGCTTGCGACATGAGACTAGAACCCGTTACAGCTTAAAGGCCACTAATAAAAAAAAAACCTCCCACTCTAGAAAATAAGAACGTTCCCATACTTAGGTCTCGAGATACCCAAAATACACGAACGCCGTTAAAAACAGGATCGGAACAATCCGTTCAGCTATTTTTTATTAGACAGTGGAACTTTGTTCCATGAACTTTAAAAGCGGTCTAATTGTCCTAAAACAAGGTTAGTTGAACTGGTCAACCTACCTTGGAGGAAAAAAATGGAGTTTTGTAAAACATTCTTTCGCGAGGAGGGTTCCCTAAAATTTGGACCCTCGAAACTGAGAAAATCTAAAATATTTTTTTTTGCCAATACTATCTAACTAAAATTGGTTGCGGGTCAGAAAAGTGATTAAAAACGTCGACTTATGGAACCAAAACTGAATCTGACCAATAAAAAGGTTTAATTAATGAAGGTTTTGTTTTTCAATCAAAAGCTTTTAAAGTTCAAGGTGCCGCCGGCCCCAGCACAGATTTTTCTAAATAAGCTCTGTAAGAACTTGTACACGTGTACTGACGAACCCAGGGCAGGTAGTTTTGTTAAGCTTCCTCGCAATACAGGTTGCGAATGCTGCTGGTGTACCCGGCACTGTTAATTATAAAACTACTTAACAAGAAGTTTTTTATAGAGCCAAGGGAACAAAAGCGCAGCTTTATATAAGTATATGATAGACCCGTAGCCTTATATCAGGTCAGTCTTTTTGAGTCACTTTCAACTCCAGTTTACTCTGTGCAAGATTTGGTTTTCCCAATCTGGTTGGCTTGATTCCCAGCCATCTGAACTGCTATCCACGTTATACTTTATTCTTCCATATCTAGAAAATTCCGAGGGTTTTGTCTGGATAATGAGGAAGTAACTCCTGACTGTACACTTCGTTTACTATGATACTTTCGAACTTCTGATTACAGAAGGATGTATCAGAACGAAGCTTATCGGAGCAGCAGTGGGATATTTTTTTGTTCCGACTTTTGAAGAGAACGGAATATTATGCTCGATGTGGTTTTTTTTCAGTCATTTTTCGTCGATCATTTTTCGTCGAACTGGAAACAGCCAAATAATGGGCAGTAGGAACATTCAGGGCTTTGCCGTGATATACGAGCAGTCTTGTTTCTTTTCAGATAGTTTAATGTCAAACCTTGGGAATTAAATTCTAGTATAATTTTTTTTTAAATTAGTACTCTATTACTGTGTAGAAGCGACTTCAAACTACCAGCTCATCTTTTTTGAGATTTTTACAAAATTTTTTAATAACACGTTGAATACCGATTCATTCATTCAGACGATGAGTTAATGTTTAATATAACATTACATCGTGTAATATATTATTATTTTTCGAGACCTTGAAGCAAGTTACGCCAACTTTTCTTATTCATCCTCCTAATCACCCCAAGTGATCCGAAAACCTAGAAATGCATTTGTTGATGAAAATGATCACTGCTCTGACTTTATTAGCTGATGTTTATAGTTATGGAAACTATAGATCCATTATCTGAAAAATGCCCTCTTATCCGATTGGATGTCAACTCTACAGTTTATCTCAGTTATTATGTTCTTGAAGGCGGCTACCTCAAGATCGACACCCGGGTCAGCTAAATTTATAGCCCTAGTCTTAAAAATTTTCTATTGGTTGAGCTGTAGGTTTTTTGTTTCTAGTCGCGGCGGGTATAATTGGGCTGGAACCTTGTTTAGATATCAGAATTTTCAATATCTAAGCGTTTGTTTTTAGATAACATCACCGGATGGGACAATATTATATTCCGCTGGTTATCAGCGGAGCGATAAATACATATTTACGACTGACCTTGCCGGAGCTTATAGTTTTTGCTTCAAAAACTCAAATAATATGTGGCCTAAACTTCTGATGATTTGCTTGTAAGTGTTCAATGGTAGCATCGATCGGACTGGAAACAGCCAAATAAAAGGTAAGATTCAAACTTTGGGCAGTGGTTTTTCAATTTTTGAGCTTTTGGCCGTGGTACAATAACTGCAATAACTTTGATTTAAAACTTGTTATTTTGAATTATAGTACATCACTATTTCCATTTAACGGTATATGATAATGAACAATAAATTCACGTCCTCGCATAATTTTTGTTTCGAAGATTGCGATGAAGACTACCGGGACCTTCAAACTGATGTAGACGAAAGATTGTAAGCTCAGTGAGTATTTTATAATGGCCAGAAAAATCCCGAAAAGATTGAGGGTAAGTGAAAACCTTTTGCAGCAAATAGTTTTTATGACTAGATATTGTCACCTTTTTTTCATGTTTTTAGCCATCGCCATGTGAATTTAGGTGTTTTTCCCAATCGGACGGATAGTTTTCTGAGGAGCCGCAAAGGCTATTTTTTGCCTTCAACGTTGCGGAAAGGATACACAGAGACGCTTTTTCATCTTCCATTTTTCACCGAGAGACGAGTCAGTTTTCTGCAAGTTTCTGTTGTTTATCGAGATTTTTGAGTATTGATTTCGAAAGAGTATTTTTTGTAAATTGTTTTGGTCAAATTAATTGCTTCGACCACTCTACTTAGCTGTTTTGTTTTTGAGCAACTACAATGAGCAGTCAATCAATTAATAACTGTGGTCGAAGCATTTTTGCGATATCTTTTGTTTTGTCTATTTGTGTTTCAGTTTTTATGATATAAAAAATTTAATTTTCTTGTTTTGCTCCTTTTCGAAGAATATTTTCGTTTGATTTTGGGAGTTAGTGAAAATAAGTTGTTTATGTAATGTTTTTAGTTACTGCGTAGTTCCATTAATTGTTCCGACCATCCTAACACTTCCCCCGCCCTCCCCGAATAGGGGATGGGAAGTAACTATGGCGTATGGTGGTTTTTTTCGGACCGATTTAATTAACTCAAAGGCGGTCTATTATGTTAAGCCCTATTGGTGGTAGATCTGATTCCGAAAAAAATAAAAATTTTTTTCTCAATGTCAAGAAAAATTGATCTGAATTTTTCCGTTTTTCAGACTAATTGAGCGGAGAAAAAAGGAACGGCATATTTAATTCTACTGCACATTTTAAACAATACTTAACCACTTCATTCTTGCATAATTCTCAATATAATCCATGTCTATTGCCCTAAAACAAAAATCTGAAAAGCCTTTTTAATTGCTTTGCTTGTAGTACAGAGGTCGGAACAGTATGCGAAACTTGCACAGCAACTGGCTATCCTTGCTTTTTTTCTATATTTCGAGTTTTTTGTAGACACTTCTTAAAAACATTTTTAGTTCAAAAATATGGGTACATCAGGAACTGGTGCTTACGAAAAGCTTCTAAGTCTTGGACTGGAGCGATACGTTGCCCAGCAGTTAGACGATCTCATTGCTGAAGGCTACTACCCTCCAGAGGGTTTTGCCAACGATGTGGCCATGTACTTCAAAGGAGTGAACCCTAACATTCTCTCAGAAGTAATAATTCAATACAAGTCAAGTGACTTCACAGGGATACAAGACTACGGGGCGCTTCTGATTCAAGTAGCTAGGCCAATCATGGGAGTCAAACAGGACAACCGCCCTTTCCAGCAAATGCATCATGCTCGCCCTGCACCGGGACCACAACAATCTTTTAAACCAGAACCAAGATATCATGGCGGCGGTGAAACACGAATGGAAATCGGTGGTCACGGTGGTGGTGGTGGCGGCGGGGACGCCAAAGCGTCGAGCGCACCCACGAGCGATAGGATGCAAAAGATCTTAGATCGAACTATGTACAAGTACGAGGTAACAAGCGGTCAACGCTCTTATGGACCAGGTCCTGGTATGGAGGACTTCAAGCCGCCGAAAAACTCGCAGTGTTACTTCGGAAAGATTCCAATGGAGTATTTGGTCGAAGACCTGGTGGAGAAATTTGAGCAGAGCGGTCCCATCTGGCATTTGCGGCTAATGATGAACCCCGAAACTGGGAGAAATCAAACATATGGCTTTGTGACATTCTTCGACGCTGAAACTGCGCGTAAATGTGTCGAATTGTGGGATGGTTTTGAGTGCCAGATGTCTGGTAAGTTGGTTATTGCACATGAATAGTGAACGTAGTTTGAGTTTCTTTCGTGAAATATACTTCAAAATGCACGCATAGTTGAAATGATTTTTTTGCTCTTTTTTTTTACTGTTATGGTATGATTTTCAGGTCGCAACCGATCCATTCGCATGAATGTTAAAATCAACGAACCGAACCGGCGTCTCTTTGTGGGACCTATCAGAAAAGAAAAGAACAGCGAGGAGATCATGGCAGCCTTCTCAGCTATTGTGGACGGGATCACTAATGTCGAGATCCAGGAACCGGCGGATCCAAACACCCACCTGAAGAATAAGGGCTTCTGCTTCCTCGATTTTGTAGATCACAAATCGGCTGGGCATGTAAGTCAAGTCGAATCAATTGACTTCACCTGTCTCGATAATCAGCATGCATGACAGGAAATCGTAGAGTTTAACAATGAGCAGCATTGGAATGAATATTTTCCTAGCATATGATCAATTTTTTTCATGGTTTCGGTTAATTCTATTGGACATGTCCTTTTTAACCCGTAGTGCAATTTGCGAAGGACATCAAAAAGAAAAAAAAATGAAAGTGTTTTTCAACAAAAAAGCCGCAAAAAACCCATCAAACAGATGCCAACATTTATTTAGAAAACAAAAATGGAGGTTACTTGCATCGTTTCGAGTTGCAGCTTTGAAACTGTTTGAAGTGTTGACCTTTTGTAGGCCAAAAAGAGACTGGACCCTGGAACTATACCAATCAAGGCCTGGAACAATTACACTGGATATGGTTGTGCCTGGTCTGACCCTCTTGACGACCCGGATGATGAAGTGCTAGGAAAGATCAAGAACGTCTACATCACTAAGCTGACAGACAGTGTGTCCGAAAGTGACCTGGAAGAAAGATTCTCGAGATACGGAAATGTAGAACGTGTTAAGAAAGTGAGTGGTTGTTGAAATCAATCGTTACTCTTGAATTTAAACTTTCATTATGCAGAAGCTCAATAGACTCTCGAACTTGTGAATGGATTTCAATAGATTTTCTCGCACTCCTAAAGATTTTCTGAAAAGTTCTCAAAAATGATATCGTACCTCGAAATTGATGTGTTGTGCATATTTTTTTGCTTGGTTGACTGTTGATAGATGGAATTCAAAGTTGTTAATTAACTTTTGCTTTAGGCGAAGAACTTTGCCTTTGTGGACTTCACGGAGCGGGAAGATTGTCTTCGGGCGATTGAGAACGAAGACGGCATGCAGATCAAAGACGCAGTGATGAAATGTGCGCTAGCTAGACCAGTTCCTCCAGATAGCAAGAATAGACTGCAGCAGATCAGGGAGAAACAGCAGCTCATGGCGTCAGAGGGAGGAGGGATGAAACCCCCTGGCGGGGGAAGGGGAGGAGGCATGGGGGGACGTCGTGGAGGTGGACGAGGCGGTAATTAATTCAGACACAGAAAAAAAATTTATATATTTTGGTCTTTCCCATCATAGCTCTCCATCCTAGAAGCAAAAATAATCGTTGTGTTTTCAATCATTAGTGCGATCATACAATGTGCATGCATATTTTGTTAGTATTAATTTAAGCGCTGCATCGAGTTATGAGCTATGTATAAATGATAAAGGCTTGTTGTCTTTCCACCCCACCTGCGAATTTTTAAAGTGATTTTTTGTTCACATGTCCGATTGACAAAAATTGACATGCAGACTAATTGAGCCAAGACAAACATATTTGTTCTTCATACTTAACCGTCTTGTAAAACCCGTCGTTTCACCATAAATTTGTTGCGTATATGAGGTGGAAGTGAGGACAAAGAGCCATAAATAAACATGCACTTGAGTGTTACATCAATGTGTACATTTGAGTAGGCGGTACATTTGAAAAAATGAACAAAACGTTTGTGTAATTTTTTGTTTCAAAAGTTTTTAGATCTGGAGTGTCTTTCACATTTAAATACTGATCTGGTTTTCTCAAATTGGGTTATCTTAACTCGACAATATCAATATTAAAAGATTATTTGAATTGGAAGAGATTTTTGTTTCGGTGTCTCTCGTAAGTTGTGAAGTAACTATCGAGTAGGCTGGGTTTTCACCCTATTTTGACTGCCTCAAAAATTAATAGGGGTTAAAATGTTCTGTCTTGTACCGTTTTTTCGACTAGATGACACAAACTTTGACAATGACACTAATTTTGACTCAAACTGATCTCCAAGTTTATGTAATTTAAAATTACTGCAATTTTTTATATTTTTATGTTCTATCGTAAACATGAGAAGCAAATTGTCGGTAGTTCTCTGGTCATGACAAATATGCTGCAATTTTGTGCGTGCTTTAGGATATTCAGGTGGTGATTTTGGTGATCACAAGCCACCAGGCTACGGCAGCTACCCAGGAGGTGGCGATCCCTATGGATACGATAGGTATCCATCATACGACTATCCTCCTTCTTACGGACGAGACCCATACGCTCGAGGAGGACCTCCGAGCTACGGTCGGGATCCTTATGACCCTTACGGTGCCCATCCTGACCCCTATGCTGCTAGAATGCCCCCACCAGCAGGTGGTTATTCTTCGCGAGGGGGACTGTCAGGTTACTCTTCATACGATAGATTTGGAGGACCACCAGCTGCAGGGGGTTTCGGGGAGTACGGAAGACCCCCTTTTGGTGGACCCCCTCCCCCGAAGAGAAATCGCGGAGGGTTTTAGAAAGACCAAAAGATGTTGGAATCCCTTTCCCCAGCCTGATGCAATAATCAAACACAAGCAAAATTCGAAGTCCTGGATATTTATCAGCAATCAAAGAAATTTCAGCATGAGTACAACTGATTTAAAACAGGCGTGGAAGATCTGTTAATTTATCTTTTATATCTTTGTCCTCGTGAAGGTTTGTAGTTGAATGCTCAAGAGCTATGGTTGCGTTGTCGATTGTGTTATGATAAACTCATTCTTCGTCCTCTTTGGTAAAATACACGTTTTGTTTATTTCAACGTCTTTTCACTTTTTGAGAAAAAATAGCTGTCAACTTAATAAATTTGAGGCAAACGCCAAATTCGTCATGTTTTTTTTTCAGAACTGAAGTTATGGCCTTAGAGTACTTAGTTTCAAATGGCGACCCCATGTCCCTGGGTTTTCTGTCAACTAAGCCGAAAATGTTCTTGGCCGAACTTGAAAACGAGGAGCTGATTAAAGACGCGCCTGGAGAAATGGTTCTTCCTTCAGTTGAAAGACCACTCGAGTTTTCGAAGTCAGTATGCAAAGATAACCCGGCTATCAAATTCAACAAAGGTGAGTGATTAAATCGATGGGCCGAGTTTAAACTAAAGCCCGAAAATGTTACAGTTCATTATCAACGCTTCAATTATCAGTTTGAAATCATACCTCTGATTTCTAAGGCAATGTTAAACAAGCAGTTCATCCATTTTTATTTCTGATTTTAGACTCTGATTTCGATTACACCGATTTTTTCCTATAATAATTAACCGGTAAAAGTACGGTTATTATTCATTTGAACATCTTTCGGACTTCATTACAAAATTTTGTTTCAGGAACGACAACGCTGGCCTTCAAATTCAAGCATGGTGTTGTTGTTGCAACTGATTCTAGGGCCACTGCTGGTGCTTATATTGCATCCCCTACGGTGAAGAAAGTTATCTACATCAACAAGTCAGTTTAATTATTCTGTGATTCAGAAAGTTTTCTTTTGAAAAGTCAAAAAAAGTTAAACAGATCATTTAATTGGACGGAAGTATAGTCTATTTGTATTAAAGATACAAGAATATATTTTGAAGTAGGATCCTTTGAACTTTCGGCTTCGATTGGATATGGAAATTCTACATAACTTGAAACTTTTGAGCACTCTAACAAAAGTTATTTCGTTTGTGCACAAAATTAACGATGCCGATTACGATACCCAGTTTTAAGGTTGCGATACCGAGTTTTAAAGTTATGAAGTCATAATCCATGCATCAGTTTCAAGCTCTTACCATCCATAATGAACTGAAATAAACTACGTCCATGTCTACCTCAGGTATTTGCTGGGAACAATGGCTGGAGGTGCCGCTGATTGCCAGTACTGGGAGCGAGTTCTTTCCCAGCAGTGCAGACTGTATGAGCTCAGAAATGGACACAGAATATCGACTGCTGCCGCCTCTAAGATACTTTGCAATATCGTCTACCAGTACAAAGGTTCATACAAGCTTTCAAAATTTCAACAGCAATATGCGCCGTTGTTCTTAAGTGTCAATGAACGAAATAGTTCTACCCACTCAGGAATTCGACCCCCTGACCACCCAAAGGGTATTCCCTTTGGTAAAATTTTAGAACATCCAGTTTTTGCAGAAAAAACCTTTTCTTAATATATACTAATTTTGAGGGGTGGAGGGGATTAGCCTGTTTTTTCCAGAAATTTGCCTGGGTGAAATTTTATTTTGTCAAATTATGGTCTTAATTGTGAATTGGGAGAGCTGCGAATATCTTTCTGGTCGACCCAAAAAAGGTCGATAAAATTTTTTGAGAATACCACCCTCCGCTCGTGAAAATCCTAGATCCGTCCATGGAACAAAGTGAAGACTCAAATTTGTTAATGCACAAATTATTCACGCTCACAGCATAATATGTCCATGCTCACATTGGATTTTTAAAGCTTGGTTATGATGTATTTACACAGCATAGTATATTACAAGGACCTTCTTCATTTCTAACCTAACTCGCAAACAAAATTGCTCATTAAAAGTTATCACTTATTTGGTAGCACTTTGCTATAATCACGATCTGTAGCATTGGAAATATCATAGCATCTGTTTTGTTCTACTTGTGGCTAATTTTTGTGATTCATTAAGCGTCCGTGGCTCAGTGGTTAGTGTATGAGACTCATAATCTCTCGGTCGGAGATCGAATTCGAGACGTAGTCGAGTTTTAACTAACTTGAGGCTTATTTTTTGTCTTATTGCACTTTACAGAGCGGCTTTTTGTCGTGTTATCGCTAGTGCTTGCAAAACTTTGGGATTTTAAATTGAAAAAACCTCATTTTTTTGTTGTCAAACAAAAATATATTAACTTTAATAATAATAAGGAGATTATACTTCTCTTAAAAGTTTTGGTCTGTAGGAGGCTCCCTATAATGATAATACACTTGCTCTATAATGGGCCAGGCAGTTTTGGCATAACTAATGTTAGAATAAAAGTTCTATTTTAGGCGTTAATTTTTGGTTCGAATAGTTTTATATTTTTTTGTTTTGATCGGATAATTTGAATCAGCACTGTATGATCTACAAATGGCGCAAAAGATGTGAATTACTTTCAGTTTGGAAAGTGGATTCGAATGTTTAGATTTTCCCTGCGGAAAAAAAAATCTATTGACCCAGCTTTCTCAAATTGAATTAATTGTCCAACGAAAAAGCGTCAAATATAAAATAATCTTAAAAGCTCAATCATGAAATATCGTTAAGATCATAAGTTTTTGTTTTATCGTTGGAAATTCTTCATAAATATTCAGTCCATTTTTCGGTCACATTTCTCTGTCGACTATGTTTGATGTTTCTTAGGTTTTGAATGGAATCATATGTGATCTTCATCTGAGAGCGAAGAAGTTTAAAATTAATCCTCTAATTTAATGCTCTCGTCTTGTTGTAGAAGTTGTTCAAAAACCTTGATGAGCATTAACAGTGCAAAGATTGACTATTACATTAAAAAATTGATATTGATAAATTGTGATCTTTGAATGAATTGAAGTGACATTTTCAGGCTATGGTCTTTCAATGGGAACTATGATCGCAGGATGGGACGCCAAGGGCCCAGGACTCTACTACGTCGACGATGATGGAACCCGACTGACCCACAATCTTTTCAGCGTAGGATCCGGATCCACTTTCGCTTACGGTGTACTAGATTCCGGATACAGGTGGGATCTTTCGGTTAAAGAGGCTCTAGATTTAGCTACCAATGCGATTTATGTTGCTGGATACAAAGACTCAATGAGCGGTGGGTTCTTGAATTTGTGGCTGATGAAAGAAGACGGATGTGAACAGATTGCGTGGAAGGATTTGAAAGATATTTACGATGAGATTGAAGCTCGTGAGAGTAAAGCCTAAAGCAACTTTGATTGAATGTTAGACGATGTAATTATGATTTAGAGTGGCGACTCCTTTTGATTTTAGCTGATGTAATGAAAGTATTATAATTAAAGCTGCTCTGACCTGACTTTTCCTGGTTAAATTGTGCTGCAAACTTATTTCATTGTTGCTTGAATAGGGTAGATTGTCCTGCCACCCTTTTTTTTGTTGATTGAGCTCAAATTGTTTGCCATCCATTCGCTTACATTGAAATAGTTAACTTGCTAGTTGAGTCTAGAAATTGACTAATAAAGTTTTGAAAAAATTAAGCTTTTCAGATTTGTAGAAATTAGTTGTAAAAATGCCGGCGGCGGATGTGAACCAAACATATGCAACCAAAATGTCCCAGTTGAAGCAACGTAGAGCTCTATCTTCTGGCAGGTCAGACACTTCATCCTACTCGGCTGACTCCCTCAACTTGAACAATCCTCCGGACAGTGCCAGCTCTAGGGCATCCACTTTGAGGAGTGAGGCTGGAGATGACATGGGGTTATCTCTGGCACCCAAACAGAATAACAATCAAGGTAGGCAAGAGTTGTAGACATTACTTGTAAGGCTTCATTTCCAAAGCAAAATATAGAACTTAAATGCTTTACGGACCTAATTAAGATTGATGAACGAAGTGAAGACTCTTATAAAGGTCTTGCTGATTTTTTTTATTCAGGAAAAAGTTTTAAAAGTCTCTAATAACTGCAGATGTGCATTCATACATATTAATGCATTTATGAATGCCTTTAGGTATAATGCACTTTTTGAGTTCAATTGAAATTCATCTGCTGAAAGTTAAGTTAATAGCAGTCTCCAAATACGAACGTGGAAATGGCGCGAAAAAACGCGAACGATTTCTAGTATCGAAAGTGGAATTTAATTTTTTAGCGTAATAAAAACTTTACCTATTGATCCAGTTTTCTCAAGTTGGGTTCATGTTATCAAAAAAGCGCCAATCATAAATTTTTCAACAAATTCAAAGAGCTTAAAGGGCATCTATTTTTTTCTTTGAAATTCGCTAGTTGAGATTTTTTCAAGAAAGCCAGTGTTTTTTTTTAATGTTTACTTGCGTTCTTTACTTTCCAATCTTCGAGTGGCTATGTTTTCTTTTTGTTTTCGCACCAGAAAGAAATCATTTTATAATCTGACGTTAATGATATTTTTCGCTTGTTGATATTCTTTTCTATGGTCTCGATCCGCTTTTTCTATTTCAGATGAGACTTCGGTGATGCAAATGGCGGCAGTAGAAGAACAGCTGCGCAGTATTGCAGATGAAAATGGACGACTGATGAAGTTGGTTGCAGAGAAAGACTACGAGATTAAGAAGTTGAAGAAGAAAGCATTGCTAGCTGGACAAGTCCCAGGTTCAATTACAGTTGCTTTCACGCTTAAATCGCGATATTTTGCAGCTAAATCGGCTAGATAGTTTTTAATTACTATTCTCAGGCAGCAAAAATGAGCAATTAGGTTTATGCAGACCATAAATCAGTTACTGAAGTATTAGAAAACACAAAAAATTTGGTTTCAGAGCTAATGAACAAATTTATTTTTCACTTAATTAGTTATCCATTTTTTCAACGTTGAAGAAGATTTCAAACCTCTATATCTGTTCAGATGCGACATCGGAGTTGATCAGCGCGAATTCTATCACCGGTGACGTCACAGCCTCCAAGATCATAGAACTGTCGAAGAAGATCAGAGAAGTCACTTCTGAGCTGCACAAAGAGCAGAACAAGAGCAAACAGTATTCCAAGCAGATCTCGGAGAAAGAGGACGAAATCAGGGTCAGTGTTGCAATTATTTTGTGGCAATGTACAAAGTGAAAAGTCGTGAAGTTTCTAAGAACGAAGTGAAGACACCTATTTAGATCGTGTGGCTTTTGCTCTTCATTTTTTTTCTTGGAAACAGCCTTAAAAATTAATCACGCTCGAATTTGATTTCTCAGGAATTTGAATTTTGATTTCTTCTGTGTAAGTTACTTCTGCTTTTGCACCCTTAGCGGTGAGTTAATACAAATTCTTGGAACGGCAAAGTTTGGGGTTTGAGTGCGGCCAGGAACCTTTTTTTTTGTAATTTTCTGCTTGATAATATTTACTAGTCGGCCTATCGTTTGTCTACCTACCTACTTATTGTCGGCATGCATAATTTTTCTTCTGATTTACGCTGATTTTTGTAATTGAAAGTCATTTTGTAAGGGTGCGGGTGATTTTGCCCAAACTTTTCAAAAAAATCAAGAATTGGAGCTTTATCTCTTGAAAATTTTCTCTGAAAGTTTTTTTTCACAAAGAATTTTTTAATTGAATATTTGTGATTTCAATATGAAAGAGAATAAATTGATCGTGGTTAGTTTTGATAGAAAAATTGAAATTGGAAAAATTGTTGCTGTGTTTGAAATTATCAGTTTCAACAAAGTTATTATTATTTCTCAGAGCTTGTTTAATTTACAAATTTTGCAACGCTCCGCTTCACACCTGTATCTCATTTTGGGTTAGTTTTTCATTCGTTTTTCATAATTTTGGGTTGATTTTTCCGTTTTTTTTTTTCAGGGAAGTCTTGAATTTGATTTTTCGCAGTTTGACTTCTGATGCTTTTAAAGAACATCCTGTTTAGGTTGTTCAGTGGAATGGAAAAATTGCCAATGAATTCATATTTTTCAAGTTGTTTTTTGCTAATTTCATCAAAGTTAAAAAACGATCAGAAAAAACTGTTTTCGATTTCTTAATTTCATCGACAAATTGATGTTGAAATCGTATCTTGAAATCGTAAAATGAGCCTATAGCGCGAGGCTGAAATATTTTTTTCTCTAGATATGTTTTTGTTTGCAGGTGCTCCACAGTGAGTTGTCGAGTGTGTCTACCCTGAAGATGGCCTCTGCAGTGGCCAGTGCTAAGAAGAGGGGCGCCAGTGGAGGAGGGGCTAAAGGGGGAGGAGGGGCGAGGGTTCAGATGACCGAAGAAGAAGTTACACAGGTGAGAGATCTATGAGGGGGTCTAATTGTTCAGTGAATGTAATTGTAGATTTTAAAACAGATGTCATTCACATAAATCAAGAAGAAGCAAGATAGTAAAAATTTATCATTAGTTTTGATTTTTCAGTTGACTTGTAGCATTTCTTTTAAAATTGCTCGTAACATTGATTGCAATGCGTGTAACATTCTCGGTTTTATTCTCCTTAGTCAAGTTAGCAATCTCTTCCGCGAACACTTGAGGTGGTAGGGTGTCAACTTGGTTGCATCTTTTGGTTTAGCTGAAGGACAGGTTGGACTCAACTACAGCCAAAATGTTGGAGTACAGGGCCCAGATGGAGACAGTGAAGATGGAGTTGAAGAAGACTCAGAAGGCGCTGCAGAGTGAGGTGGGTGAGGGGGTGTCTGTTCACGACATCATATCGGGCAACAAGAGTGGCAGTGGGGCCACGTGGAGGGGCAGACAGCAGAAGATCATCGAGCTACAGCAGAAACTGCAGGTCAGATAATTTGCTCATTTGCTTCTCGAACCGTATGCGACTATGAGATCCGTAGTGTTATATTCGCTATGAAAAGTAACGTGCGAGAAGGGGTGTAGGAGGCCACTGCCCCCCCCCCCCCCCACAATTCTGCTGGCCATTTTTTGTTTTCAAATAATACTTTTGTTTGGTAGTAGTTTACTTATGACAGCCATTTCTGATTGCCAATAAACCGTAAATTTTCCTTTCGGTCAACACCTTCCAAAAATGCTCAAGAAAGATTTCACAGAAAACATTCCAAATATGGCCGTTATAGGGTTTACCAGAGCTTAAAAATTAGAAATGGTTGACCGAAACAGAAATCGACAATTTTTTTTCAAAAAAGCCTCTCCACTCGAAAAATCTCCTGTGCAGGCCTCTGACTTTGAACTACCGGGGTTGATCAAAACTTCTAATCACACAATTTCAATTTTTGAAAAACGTCTTGTCATATAATTCCATGCGTACATAATAGTATATTAAGTCTCTGTGATATACATTTTCCCATACATGAAAATTGGTTGAATCATTATTGAAACGCTAATAACCAAATTCATTTTAATCAATTTGCATTCTTTTTATCAACTAAATTGTCCCATAATCATCTGTCTTTTTTGTTTTGAATTGGTCCTTTCATGTACTTTTGTGGTGGTTGGTGAATGTAGTTTTTTGTTTCTAGGAGTACAAGGAATTTGCAGCCAATAGCGGTTTGAGCTCGATTTCTAACAATCAGTCGAACACTTCGAACGTAACCTCAAGAACAAATGACACATTAGAAGACGAAATGATGTTCGCAAACCCGACTTCAATCAACCTGAACAACTCCAACAGTCACGTGAACGCGAACAACGAACGAAACAAAGCACATATAAAAGTGATTGAGAAGAAACGACAAGAGGAAATAGACGATTTGAGAACCCAAGTCAAAAACTTCGAATCTGAAAATACGAGGTTGCAACAGAATTTAGATAGCAGCAAAGCTAGAAATAAAACACTGTCAAATGAGACGAAGACACTCAAAAACCAAATTGGATTGCTGAAAGAGAAAAGCCAACATGACGATGAGTTAGTTACTGCTCTTATGGGTCAAATTGACGTTTTGAAGGAGGATTTGAAACGTGCAATAGAAGCTGAAAAAGAAGCTTCTCAGTTTGCGCCCGGAGGTAAATTAACTGCGGCACAAGAACAAGTCGAGAAAGCTATAGTTGATCAACTTAAGCATCTAGTTGCAGAAAAAGAATCCAAAATCCAGGAGCTGGAAATGAGGTTGTTAACTATACATATGGGTCAAAACCAGCAGTCGCAGAGTTTTGCCAATAATTTTGAACTTGAAAGTGTAAATTCGAGAAATACAAGTGCAAGATCAGATGTCGGAAATGTTCCAATTCAGATATCGAAAAACGCAAGTTTGACCTCAATCTCAAGTCAAGCTAGACCAGGTTCATCAAGGCGCCCTGAAAGTGCTTTGAATGGTGCACATAACACCGAACTTGAGCACAAATTACAAGAAGTCTCAACACTACTGTCAGCCGCCAGTGTGGAAAAAGAGAAATTGAGAGAATTTTGTGCTCTTTTGCAGAAGCGTGTTGATGAATCAGTTGAGTATAAAATGAAACTTGAAAAAGAGCTTTCGCATCATAAGAAGAGAAGTGTGATGCTTGAAAAACAAGTTGGAGCTGCTAGCGTTTCGACAAATAATAGCGTCAGCTTGTCGACATCGGGTCTTCCGCCAACTGGGAACTCAAAATCTCGAGGACTTGCTGGTTCGATGGCTCACATGAATGCCAGCTCTGTTTCTTTAAGAGATAGCAACGCAAACGGTGCTTCAGCTCCAGCTAATGATAATTTATCCTCGAAATGCGAATTGCTACAAGAAGAAATTGTTAGTTTGAAATTTAATTTACAAACGATAATGAAAGCGCGAGATGAAGATTTTGCTTTGTACAAAAATATGATAGAAGAAACAAAAAATGTTTTCTTAACAGCTTTGAGACAATTGAAACAGCCGAGTTCACGGAATGAAGATCCGACTATTGTAAACTTAACGTGATACAATTTTTTTGGAAGTTTCGTGATATTACAATCTGACGATTAAATTATAGTCCCAAATTCTATCATGTATTTTATCAAGTGCGATTGTAAATTGTACATATGTTCATTCATGTAGAATAGCTAGTGTAAATGATACTTTCATGTTGCTTTTGCTGCTTCAGTTAAATTTTAAAGAAAATAAATTCAAATTCGTTATTTTTCTTATTGATCCCTCAGAGTAATTGAGAGATATACAGTCGCAGGTAGATATTTAATTTCTGCTCCATTAAACTTTGTTAAAATGTTCTCGCTGTCAATAAACACGAGCGGAAACCTTGCCTTTTGAGCCCATATTAACAGTCGTGATTTGAATTCTAAAAAACTCAAAGTTTTTTCCGTGTCGAGAATAACAGATCTTAATTGTTTGCCATTCAGACTCAACTTAAGCGACGAGCAAATACTTTCGTAAAATAAAAAAATCCAATTAGTATGCTTGCAAAACAAATTTTAACCTGAGGCTTTATGGTTTGCAAGTTGATTTATTTTAGATTACACACAATCCTTTTAGAAGAAAAGTCGGTTGATGTTTTTGATTGAGTGTTTAAAAACCTTGAGTCTTTTTATGTGCGACTCAATGCGGGACCAACTGTGGGGGATGGGGCTGTTGTCCAATTTGGCGTATCCAATTCCGCCTTGAGGAGGCGGTTGACACCTCCACATGTGACCGAAATGGGATTCAAATTCATGTCCCACTCGGTTACGAGTGCTCCTTTTTTATGTTTTAGACATCTGTTCACACTGATGTTTATTTCCGTTCGAGGCAAGTGACTTGTTTCTCCAGTAAGAAATTGAACTTGCTTTATGGAACCTCATCTTTGAGGAACCTTCTAATTTGTTCTAGTGGTTTATGTTTTTTCGATACGTAATAATTATCAAGTTTTTTCTGGAAAGTTATTACCATTGCGATAGCAAGGGTATTGCAATTGAGTACAAGACTTTTTTTTTCCAGTAAACAACTTTGTCCACGGGACTCATTGAACTAGTGGTTCCTTGGCTCATAATGTATTCAAAATTTGTAGTGTCTCTTGTACGCTTAGCCTGGTGGTACCGAATACGCCTGGGACGGTTCGAATCTGATCAGGACCAGTTTTTTTCAAACGGTAATTGTTCCGGTTCAAAAAAGTTTCGGCCTATTATTTGTCTGCTTATGTTTTGTCGGCTTAATTGTCACATCTAAGAATTGTTTATTTTAGCTGTAGGCCATTTAATTGCTGTGGTTTTAAGCATTTTAAAAATCCGGCCGAATCGAAATTTGCTCTTCACATTAGTTGTAATTTAACCAGCTCGATTTGTTAAATTTTGATTTTTTTTCATTTTATCTTTTTTTATCGGTTTAATAAATTTCGGCCTAACTATTATGGACTTAGTGGCCTCTCATTGCGTCGTTACGTCCTGAAAAAGCTTTTGTGCCCGTGTGTGCTCTGATGGTAAAAAGGACTTGACATTTTTATAAGTTAAGAATTTTTCTGAATTTCTCGGCATGAAGGGTTTCTGCTCAGGTTTTTCGGCTTTGTTACCGCTTCGTAATTATAAATCTGGCGTAGAGGTAAAGGAACTGTTTGAGATGACAAAGATTCGCGGTTCGAATTCGGCCGGGCCCTTTTTTGCAAACTATAGCTTTTGTGCTTTTTCGGATTGTCGTCCGTTTATTCTTTTCGTGTGCTTTTTGTCGGCTTAGTTCCTGTAGCTCAATGGTTCATCTTTATTCCAAGTTGCTGTAACCCCCACGCTTGAGACGACAAAACCCGGTAGTTCGATTCCAATTGAGACTTGTTTTTCTTGCAAATAGAAAAATTTGGCTACTTTAGATTATTGTATATCTGCTTATTTTTGTCTACTCAGTTCCACAGAAAGGACTTTTCTTGGAAACTTGGCTTTTGTATAGCATTCAAAAAGCTCTTTTTAGAGTTTTTAATGGTAGAGGCAATTTTATTCCGGATATTTTGGGCTTAAGTGGCAATTTTTATTAACAAAAACGATTTTTTGATTTTTTTCGCTTGATTTTCATAACATTCATATTTGTATCGCAAGTGGTGCGAAGCTCAGCTTAGCCTCTGTGTCGATAGTCGAAATAACATTTGTCTGCTTTTTTGTCGGCTTTGTTTATTTTCAATAGAATTTTCTTCTGGTTTAAGTCCAGCGTTCTGTTACTTGATTGATTATTAACGAACTGTGACTCTTAATTCGTTCTTTTTTTGTTTTAGTTCCGTTTTTTTTCCTGACTGAATTGAATTCGGGTTCTGTTATATTGGTTTAATTATCCACCGCATATTTGTCTTTTTGGCGAAATGGTCGTTTACACCAGTTTTTTTGGCTTATGGACCGCTAGGTAAGCGATAATAAATGTTTATCTGACGCTGGTGTTGCGGTTTTTTGTGAATTTGAACTTCAGTCGAGACAACAACTACTAATGCGTTTATTGTCCGTTTTCCCATTGTGGCGGGGTTGGACATCCGGAATGATTCAGATGAGGGCATTCTGAATAGCATTCAAGCTATCAAATGGAGGATAACACGTTTTTTTTTTCATGCCATTCGATCAAGGCAGTCTGTGGATTTGAGGACTAATGTATTCAGGTCTTGTTTAACACAATCGATCGAGCGTTTTTAGGCCGTACTACTGGTTTTTTCTTTGGGACTGAAATATGGTCTGTTGATTTTAGCGCATGGTCATTTTCTCTTCGCTGAACATGGCCATTCCATCGTATGAAATTTTTGTAGTTAGTTTTTTCAATTTTTGGGAAATTGTTTCCGTCTTTTTCATTCGCCAGTTTGCAATGTTTTTCAAGTGTGGCGGTGCTCTTCTTGGCCTGTGTAAGTTTATGATAGCATGATTGAATGGTGTGTTTGATTCAAGTTTTTTACGCTCATTTAATGTTTTGATAGTTGAAAAAAAAGACATTTAAATTGATGACGCAAGTTTTTAAACTTTACCAGCTGGGAAAAATATACATTTCAAATACCTTTTCAAACAAGCGAAAGCTTGTGTTATTCCACGGGGGTAATTTTTTCTAACCGAACTCACTCCAATTTATTTGTGCCCAATGTTTAAATAAGTCCCTATTTTTATCTGCATAGAATCTTAGCCTTGACAATTTACCCAGTTTTAAGCTAATGTAATCCCATAAGCTAAAAACTGGGATTTTTACAAAAATTAAAAAAAAAATTCTCAAAACAAAAAATGAATTTAAAAAATGGAAAAAAATAACTCTTCCCATGCGCCGCGTAGTTTTAAAAATTTATGTTATAGCTCAGGGAATATTTATTCGTTAATTCTTTAATTCCGCAATTGATGTAATTATTAAGTCTATCGGTTTACTGATCTGATAATGTACTGGCTTATCGGTTTACTGTACGCACCCCAAATTTTTCATCGTCCAAACATATATTTTTGTAAGCTAATGATGCAGCGTTATGTGCTAAGTCGACGATTCAATCGTAAAATTTTCTATTTGCGTGGATAGTTTTCAGACTTGTCTCGCTATCTTTTCGAAAAAACAGTGATGCTGTAGAAATTCAACTCTTTCACATCTATTCATTGTTTTTTTTTCAGATCAGCCTTAGGTATGGTAGGCATGTCCCAGAAATTGAGAGCCATGGTGATGAAGGAGCCAGTGTATGCTGCACTGGCTGTTGCACTTGGAGCAACTTGTAGCATTGCAATACCCATGCGCTACTATCAGGGATACAAACGACAAAAGTTAGTCCATTTTGTGCATTAATATTAATTACCAAAATCCAAATAGTTGCGATGCGAGTTTATTTTTTTGAAATTTTTATGACAGTTTAGTTTTTAGTGGAGTTACTGGTGTATAATAGGCTACTACTTGGTAATTCTTTGACGTCTGTTTGTTAAGATAAGAAATAAGTCAGATCGCGGATCTAGGTTTTTCTCGCGAGAAGGGATTTACAAAAAGTTTTCGAAAATTTTGTCTACTTTTTGTCGACCAAATTTATTTTCTTAGCTCTCCCGAATCACTGTAAAGACCCTACTTTGACCAAATTTTCTGCGCCGCAAGCAATGTTTTGAAAAAAGTTCAGGGGTTCGAGCCCTGCCTTTGGATCGGTAGGGCTCGAATCCCTGAGGGGCTGCGTCCCTCAGGAGTTTAAATCGACCCCTGGGTGAGATACAGGGTTGGAATGATTATAATCAATTGATTAAAATCAAGATAATAATCATGATTAAAATGGCAAAAACATCGGATTAAAATCAGGCGACAGTACATCAAAGGCTTTGTTATTAAAGAGTCACATGTCTCTTCCTGCCTAGTGGTGGCGTCCGTTTTTTCTTGTTCCGACCATTTGAAAAATGTGGATGAACTTTGTATTCTGGTGTGTTAGTTTTTTCCTCACAAAATCAGGTACCACAAATGATCATTGGAATGGGTTGAATGATATATAATGTTGAAGCCCCTTCAGTCGTGATTCGAATGACATAGAAATATTTTGAAAAATTTTTGCGCAGTACCGAGAAAAATCCGTTTGAAGTTTTTGATTTTCAGTCTAATTTCGAGCTAAAAAGGTGGGCGTACAGTCTTACAATTGTTTTACTCGACTTAAATTAGATTTCGGAGTTTTTTATATGAAATTTAATCGCCTGAATTTATTTGCTTGCTACGAGTTATTCGCGTTTTTTTTTTAATTTCGTTTTCGCCTCCTTTGGTTTACTTAGCCTTTGGAATAGCCGGCCGGAATATTACAGAAATAAAAAAAATTAAATGTTCAAAGTCATTGATTATATAATCAAAATGCGTAAAATAGCCGGAACGTTACAGAAATAGAAAATGCGTAAAATAGCTGGATCAAAATGCGTAAAATAGCCGAAACGTTACAAAATTCAAAGTCATTGATTATGATCAAAATGATTTTTGATAATTATCGGATTTTTTCCAACCCTGGTGAGATATTGAATTTTGTTTTGTCAACTACGCCTTGTAGTTTTCACTGATAGTGTTGAGGTTGGATTTTCATGAATTGCGTAGAATTCGTTTATTAATCTCAATGAAATCCTGATCAATGCAATTGGTTTTAGGTATGCATGGGAATTTGTGTATCACTACCCCTATCCAATGAGAACCGAAGACTACGAAATTATGAAGACTAGAAAAGATTTGTTCCCTAGTTTCCAGTTCGGAAACTTCAGATTTCTGAGCACGAAACCATCGCCAGAAAAGTGTATCTCAAATTACCACGAGGGTGTCAGGGCTAAAATTCAATATTAGTGGATATTTCAGAACTGTGACTGACTGTGATAGCGTAACTTGAGCGGAAAACTGTTAACACTTTTTGAACATTGTAGATTATAAATTTAATAGATCTATTTGAAAATTGTCGTTTTATAATAATAGGTAAAAATAGCTTCAGCTTAAAAAATGCTCTTGTCAAAAAGGGCTTGTGTTGCAAAAAAAAAACTTTTTAAGAGTCGATGATTGTAGTTGTAGTTCAGACTCTCAAATAGGTCGCGATATTTTTTTCAAAGATTTTTTTTTCAAGCAAAGTCTTTATTAAAATTTGTTAAGGCTCAAATTTACTTTTTTTGCGGTCTAACTTTTGACTTATTTTTTTATGTTCAATTCACTTCCATATATTAAAAGAGCGAAAGTGTGAAGTTCACGAAAAATATGATCGACTTCTAGTTTCGAAAGTGGAATTTTCAGATTTTCCAGCGAAATAGAAAAATTAATAATTATTGGTCCAGTTTTCTCAAATTGGGTTGATTTAATCAAACAAGCGCCGATCATAAGTTGTTCTAGAAATGCAGAGCTGTAACGGCATCTATTTTTTTGAAATTCCGAAAGCTGAATTTTTTCATAAAACAAATCGGTATTTTTTGTTTACTAGCGTTCATTGCGTCTTTTCCAACTGTCTGTTGGCTATGTTTTGCACCTAACTAGCACAAATTAGTGCTCAATTTTGTTGCCAAGATGTTGGTAGCATGTGTTTTATCCGCTTTAGTAGCAAGGAAGCGCCTGTTTTTTTTTAGATGTGTAAGCTCTGCGAGACAGGATGGCTCGTTCAGGAAGAGGATTGCTGTATAATATGTAGTTAGGTGGTTCAAATCCTGTTATTGGCTAATTCTGGTTTTATCTAGTTTTTTTAAATATGTTTTTCTGTTTTCTTTTGTTTTAAAAGTTTTTTTTTTTCATTTTTTGCTTAAATTTATCCTTGCGATTATTAATAACTTTATTCACAAAATGGTCAGAATCAGTACTGGTAATTTTAGGTTCAGTTGATATTGAATTCAATTTTTTTGCCTCTCCGGCTCACTGGGCCTGGAGGTAATGACTACGCCTGGTCCTGGGCTCGAAACTGACAGGAACTTTTTTTTCAAACTGGAAATATTCCATTTCAAAAAAAAGTTGTCGGCTTTAATTTGTCTGCTTTGATTAGTCGGCTGAGTTGCCACATCGTATATTTGTTTGTTTTAATTTTGATGTACGCTTTTCACATATCAGTTGCTTTTAGTGTTTTGATTTTCTGCTGTTTGTAATTTCTTTAATTCGTATAATTTTCTTTGTTTTTTTTCCGCTTAAAAACTTTATTCTGGCCTAATGATTTGGGCTCATATTTTATCGGCTCATATTATATTTTATTTTGAGTCGTTTCAAGGGAAGCATAATTTTAATGCACACTGGATCGCACTAATTGCTAAAATCTTTGTTCAAATTATAGCTCAAGTTTTTCAAGGCAACATTTTTTGGCTTTTTTCTCGGATTGATAGGTTTTGGGCTCAAATTATATCGGTCTCATGGCCTCCTATTGCGTCGTTCGACGGGCCTAAAAAGATTGTTTGTGCGTGTGTCTTTTGAGTGTGACTTATTACATTTTTGAAAGTTTCGTTGATTTTTTTTCGGCCTAAAGGGTTTCTGCTAAGATTTTTCGGCTTTTTTAGCGCTTGGTAACTGTTCTTCAGATTGGAGTTTTACATTCTTATATCCGCGCAGTTGGAATCCTGAAGGCGGTAAATTTTTTTGTTTCGAAGTTTTAATCAGACTATGGCATTCTGAAGATCGAACACTGTTCAGAGATTTCTCACTGCACTCATCACGACTTGGCAGATCTCATCTATTTACTCCGTATTCAATTTTCTTGCAATTTTGAAGCTCGCTTTTGAAGCCGTATTATATTATATTGCTTCTGATTGCGAAGTGTAGCTCGTCAGTGTTAGTTTTCAAAATTGAAAATTTTACCTTGCATTATTTATTATATATCGGCTAGTTGCCCGCAATTGTAATTTGCTAATTAGAGTAGACAAGTCTTCAGCTCACGAACGAATCGACTGCAACAGGGACATGCTGATTGACACTCATGCTATTAGACCTAGACAGTATCAAGGTTTTGTCCGCTAATTTAATGCTGATGAGCAGCTGCCTGGCATTTACTAGTTAAAAACATTTTTTTTTTATTATTTTTAAGAAAAGTCTTAAAATTTGTCCACGCTCATTTTTGATTTTTTGAGGTTTAAATTTTGATAGTGTAAAGGACGAGAAAAACACGATTGACGTCTAAATTCGAAAATGGACTTTAATTATTACATTATCCAGCGAATTATAAATTTTAACTATTGGTTCAGTTTTTTTTTCAAATTTTATCAAAAAAGGTCAAACATAAATTGTTTGTGAAATTCAAAGAGCTTTATGGGCAAACAATGGGCTTTTTTTAAGTCGCAAGTTGAAAACTTAAAGAAAAACAAGTCAGTTTTTTTCTGTTTCCTTGCGATCTTTACTCTTTTTCAACTGTAAGGTGGCTATGTTTGATTTATTATCCGAACAACACTTCTTTACGTATAGTAATTTTTGGGTCAGACCACTCACTGCTGCAATGTTGAATTTCATGAAAGATCAAAATGATTACGCGCTCAAACGTTCATTATCTAGTTTTGATGGCGACAAAATTACTGATTAAATACTAACTCGGATTCGCCTCACTTTTCTGCAATTGCTGAATGTTGCAGTTTTCTTTTAATCGCCTTATTTGCCTCAAACTGCGTTTTTTTTCTAAAAGATTATTCAGCTGACTCTTTCTCCGTCTAAATTGTATTGAAATAGTTACTTCGTTTTGTACTAGTTTGTACTGCAGCAGATACAACAGTTATTTTGTAGGCAGAATATTAAAGTTCAAAACTAAAAATTTGGTTTTCGGACACTAAAGAGTGTTTAAATCTAGTTTTTCAGTTTTAAATGAATTTTTCTCCAAATAATCAACTGACTGTTAGTTTTAGTTTTCGCGCTGTCTGCGAAGGATTCTACTACACCTGTTATGATGAATATAATGCTCTCCAATGTCTTTTTCTATGTTTTCTTCTATATGAAGGTTTTTGATGAACAAATTTCTACGTATTTCGAAAAAAAAATGGCGCGTTTTAGTATCCAATTGTTGCCAAGTTACGAATTTTTTTGTTTATTTGTTTTTGTTTTTACACGATCGGAGCGTAGTGTGATAGTATGATTTCATTTTTTGCAGCCTAAGGCGCAATTGTTGGCTCTTTTGAATCAGCACTTATAGGTTAATCCAGTTGATGCTTTTTTAATTCATCAATTGAATCGAAAGAAGCTATTTGCTTCATACAGCAGTATAATAATTGAATTTCCATATCAGAAATTTTCAACTAGATTAAACTCGCGAGATTTTTGAAATGCATAATTTATTCGCTATTTGGTTGAGTACATTCTAATTGATTACATGCAAAGTTAGTGTGGTTGCCTGTACTTAATTACATTTCAAATAAATATAGTCAAAATTTTTGTGCATTTTGAAGCTCATGAATCTGTGCCGCTTTTTCGCTCGTGTTTGCGAATTTGCACTTTTGCCTTTGTGTGAATATTTGTGATGATTTTTCAGAGAAAGTTGCGTTTTGGGTCCGAGGAAGTACGAAGTCTTTTTCCTCTCTTATATCGGAAGTGATGCAATACTTTCTCCTATCCGTTAGAGAACCTTTTTGTCTCGTTGTTTTGCTATTTGTTTGCGAAGTGCGGCTTTACGTTGTGATATTTTCTTTATGTATTAAATCATTTCTTAACGTAATTCCGCTCAAGAACATCGGGTTTGAATAAAACTGTTTAATTACACAATAAGAACTTGAGTGGTGCGTAATGTTATTCATTTTTTTTTCGAGGTTACTTGCCTTATGCACTTGTGTTAAATAAAAGTCGACTTCTTTTTAGCCTATTTATTATGGGTTCAATTTTAAATCGTTAGTCTTTAAATCGAAAGGCTTAATGAATTTTGAATAAAAGTATCATCAAAAAAGTCCAGACTCAAATAGCTACCTAAGAATGTTCAAATTAAAGATGAATGAATATTTTTTGGTCTCATAGTTAGGCAAAATTAGAATGCTAAAATAACAATATTACGAAAGGAATTGTTTTTGGAATTAATCGAAAATTTAACTGAGAATAATATCAAGGTTAATGAAATCTTTCGCTTCTTGTTATACAGTGCTGATTAAGATTAACCAGACACAACGAATAATATTAGAAGATTCATCAGCATTTTCCTCAAATTTGGCTAAGATTAGACAAAATTTCACCAGAATTAATATTGCAATTGTTTTTCGAAATTCTCAACCAAAATTTCACCCCAAAAATGCGTCATTTTGCCTTTTTCTAATTAATCAGGAATCACGCTGGAACTACCAGGTTAATTGATGAGAAAGTTATGTCAAAAGAAGGCCCTTACCCAGCCCAGTAAAGTTCTAGAAGTGCAAAACTTCCAAAAGTTTGCGTACAAAGTTTGAAATTTGGTGTTAAGAAAAGATTTTGATTTTTTCGATATTAAAACTAAAATGACCTTTTTTTGGCTATCAACCAAAAATATATTCTCTAATGCAGATTTGGAAAATTTAATTTTCTAGATTTTTGTTGGGCTGTGTTAGGCTGATTTTGATATAATTTTCTCACCAATTATTTAGGTAGTTTCAGCGTAATTCTTAATTAATTGAAAAAAGCCAAAATGTGACCCATTTTTGGGATAAAATTTTGGTTGGGAATTTTGAAAAAATACCATATTAGTTCTGTTTGTTCTTAAACCGAAACATATTATTTAAACTTTTGTTTCCCTCACTTTTTCTCTAATCTCAACCCAATTTCAGGAAAACCCGTTTGTTCGTTTTGTCCGGATAGTTCAAATCAGCCTTGTACCTGATTAACTCTTGCTATAAAATTTGGTAATGTGGAATATTAAGATAGATGATGCAAGCTTTCAGAATTTTTACGATTGTTAATTTCTTGATAAATATAACCTACTCTAAAAACCTGGTTGTTATTTCGCTTGAGTCTGGTAAATAAAGTTTCGTTTTAATTTGTGATGTGATGTTTGCGCGTTGAATATGTCACTTGCGATAGCAACTATTATGATCGAGAACGCTGTTTTCCTATTAGAAACTGTCTATTTTTAGAAACATGTTGCTGCACTGCGTCTCTTACTATGATACGTCTTGTTTCTTTGTTAGAACTCGCCATAAGCAACAGCCTGGAAAGCCCCGACAAACTTAGCAATTTGATAACGAGCCTCAGTAAAAAGTGCTTGTTTCAAAGATCAAATTTCAAAAGTTTTGGTTTCCTCAACATCGTTGAATGATTCAATTTACAGTCTAATTTCCGTCCCATTCAAAAATTGTAACCCTCCATGAACAGCCAATATAGTTAAAATATTGCATATCTTGCTGTTGTCTTTATAAATTCTGTGGGTCCTATAAGTAGAAATACCTGAAACTATTTGAGAAAAGCTGATTTTTTAAAAGATCAATTTTGAGGAGAATTCTATATTACATATTTAAGATTTAATTATGATAAATATCAATTAAAACGTCAAGTTAAACAATTTTGTAGTTTATCAAAATAAAATTGTATCAAAAATTTTAATATGAAATTGTATTTTGCACATTTTGTAAAATAATTATTTGATACAGAATTAATACATGCTGGGGGAGGACATTATTCTACGGACACCCAATAGACCAAGTGAACTGTTTTCATCCCAAAACTCTAATTCGAACTTAGATAAAAAGTAAGCCGAATAGTTTCAATATGGCAGAAAATTTTTTTTGGTCAAAATGTTGCAAAAGCTTTCAAACAATTTCTATAAAACACATTTTTTGCAATATAGATCTTTTGTGGTTATTTCATCTGGGAGCGATTTAGTAGCATGTGTTTTATCCGCTTTATTAGTGATAAATTCGACTGGTTTTTCTATTAGATGATTCGTAAACTCTATAAAACAGTTGACTAAGTCAGCAAGATGAATGCTTCGTAATCCGAAAGTCCGCAGCTCGAATGATGTAGTCGACAAAAATATATATCTTTTTTCGAGTTGATAGCTAGTTTTTAGTTTCTGTTTTTAATTTGCAAGTCTAAGGTGCCTCTTGCCATTCATCCATTTGCAAAGTTTTTTGAATTTTGCGAAACTTAAGTTGCCTCTTAGCACTATTCCTTTTATTTGCGTGTTATGCAAAATATTGTTTGAGTACTAAAAGTGATTGTTTCAGAACTAACGCGAATTAGATTTTAAATGCTTGGTGGTGGACTTCTTATTTCACGTAGACTTGCAAAGGAGGTCCAACACAGAACCCAGCCGGTTGAAAACTTTTTAAGCAATTTTTTGGTTGTTTTTGTTACTCAGCTTGCAAAAAAAAATGTTTGCTCTTAATAAATTTTTGTAAGTAATATTTCTGTCTATGACTCAAATCCATATGATGATCATAGTTTAATGTAACCCAATTGTTTTACACGTCATTCTGGGCTGCTAAAAAACTCGATAGAACAGCGTTTGTTTTTCCTCGAATAGACTTTTATGCTTTTGTTTCAGATTGTTTATTTGCTCTGTCGCATCAATGAAGAATAAATCACTTTCAAATGACCCTAGACGAAGAAAAACCGAAGGAACAAAATGAGCCATCAATCGAAACCAAAATTGAGTCTTCGTGGGAAGTTGTTACGAAGAGGTTGAACAGGGTCGCAAATTACCGACAAGTTTGTTCGAATTGTTTTGTCTTTACATTCTGGGATCTAAACCGACGCATATCAGAGTATCTGAAGTTCCTCAACTACAAAAGCTATTCCCTTGAGGTAAATTTAAAATTTTAATCTTGCGCTTAAAGCTTTTTTTAAAATCAGAATTGATTTAAATTTTCCATGATTTGGACAAAATTTTGCTCTGACTCATTTGGAACGTTATTTGGAAGTAGATTCTTTATGAACGCTATGGATATTTTATCATTCTAGCTTGGTTCTGAATGTGATTTTTATTCAAAAAAAATGATAACTGATTTCAAATTTATCTGTGTAAGGATGTCCGGTACATCCAGACCAAAGGACACTCCCCTAAAACCCAATCCAGCGTTTTCCCCCGAGATTCTAGTTGCCACTCCAGGGGGAGAAACGCTGGAGCTTCGGCAGTTGTTCAACCGACTAGACTCAGACAACAACGGAAGCTTAACTTCCTCTGAGCTTCTGAAGGGCTGTGAGATACTGGGTTTCTCCCTTTCAAGCTCAGAAGTTGAGGTATATTGGAGTGAAATGTATTAGTGATGTAGTTTAGAATGTGTTTCTTCATGCTGTATTTCATCTTTTCCGTGTTTTTGATATGTCGAATTCATTTCATTTCTCAATCTCGAACTCGCTTGACATTTTGAAGCCTCTCTCTCTCATCTCATCGTAGTTGTTTATTCTTGACTAACAGTTTCTTCGTTAATATCCAATGATTTAAATGAAAACATTTTTTGTTTTTTTTTTGCAGGAAAAGTCGTACGGCGTGGTGTATCATCTCAAATATGATTTTTTGAGGTTTACATTTTGATTTTTTTTGGAGTTCAATTCAGATGCTAGAAGAAGTTAGGCTCTCGTTTTTTAAAAGTCGATAAGGCGCGAAAAAAATGTAAGTGATTTTAAGTTTCAAAAATGGACTTGAATTTTAGATTTTCCAGATGATGAAAAATTTGCCGATTGATCTATTTTTCTCAAATTAGTTTAGCTTAACTACTCAAGCCAGCGAGCGAGCGTAGTCCTGTATAACCAATCTACTTTTTTAAATCCAACTCACATATAAAAGTGTTCATTTGTTGGGACTTTTGCTGCATATACTTGGCATAGAAGTAGCATCGATTCGGGACCATTGCAAAAGATTTCTTTTTTAAAGCGATTTTTTTTCCTGATTTCGTTTTTACTTTTTATTGCTCATTTTGCTGTTTTCGCGAAATGTCTTTGTCTTTGTGTGAAAAAAATGACAATAATAAAAGTTTTTCTAAACTGAAAGAGCTTCAGCTAGATACTTTTTTCAAAAATTTGAAAAATGAAAACGTAAATTATTTTTTTAGTTTTGCTCGAGTTCATTGAAACTTTTCTTACTGTTCTTTAGTGATTGGTAGTGATTGTTTTTTTAGACTCAGACGAGAGAGCGTAGTCCTGTATAACCAATCTACTTTTTTAAATTCAACTCACATATAAAAGTGTTCATTTGTTGGGACTTTTGCTGCATATACTTGGCATAGAAGTAGCATCGATTCGGGACCATTGCAAAAGATTTCTTTTTTAAAGCGATTTTTTTTCCTGATTTCGTTTTTACTTTTTATTGCTCATTTTGCTGTTTTCGCGAAATGTCTTTGTCTTTGTGTGAAAAAAATGACAATAATAAAAGTTTTTCTAAACTGAAAGAGCTTCAGCCAGATACTTTTTTCAAAAATTTGAAAAATGAAAACGTAAATTATTTTTTTAGTTTTGCTCGAGTTCATTGAAACTTTTCTTACTGTTCTTTAGTGATTGGTAGTGATTGTTTTTTTAGACTCAGACGAGAGAGCGTAGTCCTGTATAACCAATCTACTTTTTTAAATTCAACTCACATATAAAAGTGTTCATTTGTTGGGACTTTTGCTGCATATACTTGGCATAGAAGTAGCATCGATTCGGGACCATTGCAAAAGATTTCTTTTTTAAAGCGATTTTTTTTCCTGATTTCGTTTTTACTTTTTATTGCTCATTTTGCTGTTTTTGCGAAATGTCTTTGTCTTTGTGTGAAAAAAATGACAATAATAAAAGTTTTTCTAAACTGAAAGAGCTTCAGCTAGATACTTTTTTCAAAAATTTGAAAAATGAAAACGTAAATTATTTTTTTAGTTTTGCTCGAGTTCATTGAAACTTTTCTTACTGTTCTTTAGTGATTGGTAGTGATTGTTTTTTTTTTTCAGGAAAAAAAAACAAAATTAATTCACACAAATTTTATTTTTGATTTCTCTTCTGAGTTCAGTATTGCCTGTCAATATAGTCTAATTCGGCAGAAGATTTTTCATTGGTACTCAAATCAAGATCTAAAGGGCTTCAATAGCTTATGTTGTCACTCTACTTCTTGAAGTTTCTGAATGGTAAATGGTTTGATTGGCTCAAAATCTAACTGAAGCCAAAGTTTCTACCCAAAGTGAGTGCCGGAGCGATGTGTTAAAAAACTGACTAGTTTTTTCAACGTAATAGTTCCGGCCACTGAAAATGGGGAGGAACTTTGTATTCGGAGTTTGTTTCTTTCCACGCAAAATCAGTTACCACTAATTATCATCGGACTGAGTTGAGTGATGTGTCAAATAAAAGTCCTTTCAATTGTGATTTGAAAATTTTTTTCCAGCGAATAATGCAAACGAGCAGTCTTACAATAGCTTATTTTTTAAATTTAGGCCGTGAAAATTTAGTTTTTTACTCAATTAAAGTTTTTTTTGAGTTTTTTGCGCCATTCAAAAATTCAAAACAGTTTCTGCGAAAAATAATCAATTTTGTTTTTGTTTATTTTTCAGCAAAATTTTTGTCCAATTTGCTTATTTTACTACTACTTTCAAATATGCTTAAGCAGAAACAATAAGGACATTATTTTAAATAAAATTTTTTTTAGACTATGGTTGGAACATTCTGTGCTACTTGCACAGTAACCGGATATCCTTGTTCTATTTGAAATGTCCTAGGAGCGAGTGAGAGAGTCGTCATATCGTTGATGCCAGTTTAAATTTTCAGAATTTGTAAATCGTCATGGAATTAATGTGAAACTTTTGGACAATATCGAAGAACTTGAAAATTATTGCCTTTAAGATAAATAACCGCGAAAAACCTTCAGTCAGAATATTTTATTTAATTTTCGATGAACATAGTTCAGACTCTTGTATAGGTTTATAGGTCGTGATGATTTGTTAAGTGTTTTTAAAGAAAATGTTTTCAGACTCAAATTTACCTTTTTGCGATGTGACTTATGATTTCTTTGTAAGTTCTGTTCATTTCCTTTGTTAAAAGGAAGGAAAAATCCACTATCGAACTGCAAAACAATGTGATTGACGTCTAGTTTATAAAATGGATTTTAATTATCAGATTTCCTACCGAAACAAGAAAAATTTCCTATTGGTCCAGTTTATCAAATTGGGTTAATTTCATCAAAAAAAAAGTATCAAGCATAATTTATTCTCGAAATCTTTTTTTGAAATCGAAAACTGGGATTTTTTTAAAAGACTAGTCAGCATGTTTTTTTGTTTACTTGCGTTCTTCGATTCTTTTTCAACGTTCTGTCGGCTATGTTTTTCTATTTGCACAGTAACCGGCCTCTGTTTTCTTGCTTTGCTCTGAGTTCGTTTGCTAGTGATGCTATGGCCCTCGAATGCTGAACCGCAATTACACGTTTGATGGGAAACCTGTTTTCATATTTTCATATCATCGGATTGTTCTCTAATTGCTGTGTGTATTCCTTTTTGAACTTGAAATTACGTGTTCGTTGAGATTATAACTTGTTAGTTTGAGGCATGATTTAATTTTTTAAGTTTGATTTATGATTTAGAAACTGATCGAGTCGGCAGATCTGAACAAGGACAAAGAGGTCGACTTCCCAGAGTTCCTCAAGTACGTGTGTGAACATCAAAAGAAGCTCCGTCTAGTATTCCAACATTTGGACGCCAACCAGGATGGTTAGGGTTTCAATCATATAGCCAATTATCACCGAAGAAAAATGTAAAGTAAGTTGCTATTAGAAGAACTAAGGTAACACTACCGAAAAAAAATGTAGAATGTATCTGTGTTTGGTTATGTACTCAAAGAGTTAAATAAGCTGGAGCCAGATCGAAAGTGCAGTAAGGGTTAGTTTCACTGACTGCTTTAGGAAAAATTGACACTGCAGAAATCCGGGTAGGCCTAGCAAACTTGGGCATCAACATTTCCCAGAAAGAAGCGGAGAGTCTCGTTGAAAAGTCGGTATAGTAATATACATTGCTTATTTTTTTGAAATTGATGTCGAGAAGTTTTTGCCCTAATTTTAGTATTAATGAAATCTTTTCCCCTAAGTTTTTGCCCTTGTTGTTCCGACCGCTGAACCATAATCATCGGAATTGGTCGAATGCCCGTTGACGAGTATGCCTAATTTAATTACAATATAATTTGAAAAATAAACGAAACGTTTTCCAAAGTTTTTTTATTATTGTGGTCGGAACTTTCTGTGCTACTTGCAGAGCAACTTGTTACTCTTTTTCTGATCTGACCTTGATTGAAATCACATTTCCTGAAGGGGAGGGGTCAGATTCGTTACTTGGTACAAAGTTTACTTGCTTAACCGTTCAATTTGTTCATTATTGGGGTAGCGATTTGTTATTATGTACCAAAGGGGGATAGTTAAAGAAATCCTATAAAACTTGGTATGGTAAGCTATTAAACGATTCTGAACTTTTAACTGTTTGCCATCTCAAAAATCAAGCATTTGGCCATAATAGCATGTAAAAGTGCACTGAAAATTGAAAATTTGAAATAGGGGAGTGTAAAAGCGCCAAGTAATCTGAGGTCACTGCATTGGCTTTAGAATCCAATGCAGCGAGGGTGGTGGTAGTGGCAGTGGCAGTGGGGATGTGGAAGGTGGAACAAGTGTGTATTGGGAGCAGTGGAGGGACTACCACCTGCTGCACCCCACAGACAACACAGAGGACATCATCAATTATTGGAGACACGGATCGGTGAGTTGCACGAAACTCATGGCTTCGACCACTGAAAGTGAGAAGGAACTTTGTCTACGCTTGTGTTTTAGTTTTTCTGTTTTAACTTATTTTGCGCGTGAAAGCCGGTATCAAAAATAGTCACCAGAATAAGTTAAGTGGTATATCATATTAAAGCGCTTTAAGTCATGTTTTGATTGACATCAAATTTTTTCACGAAGTTTTCTCTGTCGAGAAAAACCGGTATGAAAGTTAGCTTTCAAGTTTATTTTTGAGCGAATACATTGAGCAAGCAGTTGTTATAATAGGAATTTTTTGAAGTGTCGATGAACATCGTGAAGACTCATCTAGTTCAGGAAAAAATCGTTATGTTTTATTCATCTCTAATTTGATTTTTCGCGGTTTGACTTTTTGGGTTAATTGGGTTAACTCTATAAAAAGTTTCAATCATTACACTAGGGGAAACATAGTGTATTAGTACGAACTTTCTTCTTTTACTAACCTAGGTCGCAAATAAAAGTGTTCATTGAAAGTGTTCACTTATTTGGTTGCATTTTGCAATAATCACGATCTGCAGCATTGAAAATTTGTTGGAATATATTCTCTGCTTTTTTGTTGCTAGTGTTTGTGATTTATTATTCGTCCGTGGCTGAGTGGTTAGTGCGTGAGACTCAAAGATTCTAGGTCGGAGATCGAATCCCAAGCCGAATTATCACTAATTTGAGGCTTATTTTTACTTTTTCTTATCGCACTTCAATGAGCTGCTTTTTGTCGTGATCACGCTTGTGTTTGCGAAGCTAATTTTTGCCTCTGTACATTTTTCTTGAGAGCTCTAAGGGCGTATATTTTTTCTTTGAAATTAGTTTGTTTCTTTGCGTTCATTGACTCGTGTTCTAATGTCTGTCGGCTATGTTTGTTTAAGCCGTGAAAAAAATCAGTTTTACCCCTGGAAATTTATTTTTCGAAGCTTTGATTTAGCGCTTCCTTGGCAATGAAAATAATATTGAACATCTCGAAAAATGTTCTGCTAAAAGTATTTTTTTAACTTTGAAAATATAATTTTTTCTTTCATTTTTCGGATACAACTGTAGTCAATTTTGCTTAATTTGCGAACATTCCAAGCTATCGTCAAATTCTTCTCACCGCACGTTGTTCAAACATTTGAAAAAAAAGTATATTCTTCTATTTTTTGCGGTTGGAACCATCTGTGCTACATGCACATCAATTGCCTGCCTTTTCTTTTTTTTTTGCCCTATAATGCATGCTATTCAACTGCTTCCAATTTGAAAGTTTTTTCATGGTTTGATTTGAAAATGTTTGATGCGGTTACTGCTTGTGTTGCCTGTTTTGATCACTTGTAGAATAGGTTGTATTTGCATCTATAAAGAACAATTGCCAGCCCCTTCCTCGTGTCGCTTACGAAGAAAAATTTGCCATGTGGTTCAGTATTTAAGATAATTAGGTACAAAAGGGCAATTTTGACGGTATTAAGTGAGCTTGCGAATTATGGGTTTTATTACGAAGACCATTTTTTTAATCCAATTTGCATAAAGGTCAGTTAATTTTGGTAAAATCTTTCGCCGCATAGTATTGACAGTTTAATAGCGAGTGATTTCCGCTTTATGAGTAGCTGATTTTTCGATTTTGTTAGCGTAAGTGGGCCAGTTGCGCAGGGAAGTCGACATAACTGCTCGAGGTTTGAGTTCGAATCTCGTAGAGGGATGTGTTTTTCAAATATCAATAAGGTTTTTAATTTCTTGCTTTTTCTCTGTTACCTTTCGAAGCTACTTCTTGGCTTTTTTGCGAAGTGCAGCTTCGCATCAGTATTCAAATTAATGTGTCTGAATTTTTTACTACAGATCTTTCAATATATATTTCAATATATACTACAGAAGACGAGAAGTAATTGCAAACTCAATATTTTATCAGCTAAAAGACCCATTTTCAAGGGCATGTTTCGCCATATCTTAGATTTTTTTTACAAAACTTTTACATCAGTTGAAGGCAATTGATTGCATTTTTACTATTTGCAGACTTTTTCGGGTCAAAAATAACTGTTTTCTCACTTTTTGATGTTTTTGCAAGGGCGTGAGTTTTTTTTAAATACTGGATATAAAGAAGATGTCACATCTGAATGCATTTTCTCACCTATTTTTTTCTGATTACGTGAACATTTTTTCCCGCCATAATAACAAATGTTCACGCCGTTGGAAAGTCATTGAAGATACACTAAACTGGTATCTTTAACCCCAAAATATTAGATATAAAATTTCGAACTAAATTTCAATTTCTGCGAAGATGGAACTAATTGCCCTCGTCTGGCAGAACACTAACTTAAAGAGATCAAAATGGCAGTAACGGATTTAGGGTGGACTTAGGTTGGACTTCAACTAAAAAAAGATCAGCCAAATCTGAATTTTGATACCAAATTTGACTTGATCATAAGGTCAATCATGCATGAAACTGTTTGTGACGTTTGACTCTAAATAGCAATTTTAGGAAATGTACTGCACGCGTTGCGTTAACTTTTGATTGTGTTAAGCTTCATGGTTATGAGCTTCAAAAAACACATGCAGAATTATCATTTGATTACTTGAGTCAAAAATTTAGTTCTTTGGAAGCTCCGAAAACAAAAAATGAAAATGGATTTGTGACGGAGAAGAAAATTAATAAGACTATTATGTTTGTAGTTGTCACTAGATCATACCGTGTAAGTTTGTCTTTCTTTCTATACTTCTGACAGTTTTCGTCTAAAATCTTAATAATCTGAATATCCTGGGTTGAGAGCACTTTTCGCAACTACCACTTGCTTTTCGCTTAACAATCGAAGCATTACATACGGTAGGTATATTAAAGAGCCACTTCGAAGTTTTTGAAAATTGACAGGCTCTGAGGTTCTGACCCGGGCTCTTTTTCGTTTTACCCCCACCTCACTCAAACATGAATTTTATGGTCTAACGAGTGGTTTTACGAGGTTAATCATGAGACCAAATATGTTTGTCATGGCCTAATTAGTCTGCATGTCAATTTTCATGACAATCGGACAAAGTGAACAGTAACTTCAAATTTAAAATTTTGCAGGTGGGGGGGGGGGAAGTAAAAAGAGCCCGAAACGTTTATGCATATAAGTGAAACAGAAAAAATTGAATCCAATAAAAAGTTGCTTCTGAAAGAAATAATTGAGCTTGAGTGTTTTAAATGTTTCAGAATCTGGACGTGGGTGATGACCTGCGAGTGCCAGATGAGTTGCCGGCGAAGGAGAAGGCGGGATCCATGTTGTTGCGAACTCTCATCTCAGGAGGAGTGGCAGGGGCAGTGTCGAGGACTTGCACCGCACCCATAGACAGACTGAAAGTGCTGCTGCAAGTAAGTCTTCTATTTGTTTTCTAATTCACAATTTAAAAGTTCAATTCGAATTTCGTATTATTTTAAACATTGAATACTTTTTAAATGAAGATTATAATAAATAAAAGGCGTTAGCAGTGTTTTGCGATACCAGTTTGTTCTGATGTCTTTTTCTACAGAAATCTAAGCAGTAGCTTAAAATTGTTTTCTTCATGTGGAATCAGCCGTTTGTTTCATTTCAGGTCCACTCGTCCTATAAAAACCCCCTTGGTGTAGTCTCGGGTTTTCGACAACTGATATCAGAGGGAGGTGCCACTGGACTATGGCGTGGGAACGGAATGAATGTCTTGAAGATAGCACCCGAATCAGCCATCAAATTCCTAACCTATGAAAAGGTTTATAATAATTCGTGAGCTTTGAGCTATGCAATTAAACTGAAAAATAATCTACAGGCTTGCACGAAAGATAATGATATTAGTTAGTTTGTTATAAAATGTCATCATGGAAAACTTAACAGATCCTTTTCGTCAGTCCGTTCGTTTTTCGTTCATACGTGTATTTCGTCCACCTTTTTTGTCGAAGGAAAGTTTCAAAAAAACTTTAAAAAATAATTACAAAATAACGTTTCGTATAATCTTGTTGGTACATTTATATAACCGAAAAGGGTTTTATAAATATTCTGATGGTTTGTTTAGATGAAGCAGATCATCAAAGGGGACAAGTGTGAAGTTACTGCTCTGCAGAGGTTCTTTGCTGGTTCCATTGGCGGCCTCTGTGCACAGACAACTATCTATCCCCTAGAAGTGAGTGCCTTATTGATCCGACTTTTGAAGAAATTAAGGAATATATATGCTTGATGTAGTTTTTTTCTTCTGACCAAGTTTTGAAAGAAAGTTATAGTGGCGACAGAATCTTAACTGGAATCTACATGTTCCCAGCGAAAGTGCTACCAACAATTTTAAATGCGTTTGAGCTTACGTAAACTGCTAGTTTAAATAGTTTGAAGACTTTATCTATGAAACTGAAAGCGTAACACGAATTATTATCCTGTACACAAAATTGTTTACACATGCCGAGAGTAGTGTCATATTACGAAAACTTTTTTTTCCATCCCAACTCGCGATTAAAAGTCCTCATTAGAGTGTGAGAATCTAGATGCTAGTCCGTGATACTCTTGCGCTGGAGGACGGGGTTCCAATTCCGGTGCATAGCAGAGTTTTATTAGTATTGGGATCCAAATAATGGGCAGTTGGAACATTCAGGGCTTTGCCTTGATATATGAGCAGTCTTATTTGATTATAGTGGCGGATCTTCTATTACAATAAAAGGTTTCTTTTGACACTATATTTTGACCCCCGTACTGTAAAAGGTATGACTCTTCTTTTTTTTCCTAAGTAACTCGCAAGTTAAAGTGTTCAATTAGTGAATCTTTTGCTATAAATACAATCTGTAGCGTTCGCATTTCCATATAATCTGTTCTCCTCTTTTGGTGGCTAGTGATTGCCTTTCGTCAAGCGACCGAGGCAGAGGAAAGGGCATGACATATCTACTTTAATGGTCGCTGGTTCAATGCATCACTTAGTACTTTTTTATTGCACAATCTGAGCGTGTTATCATACTACGATTGCCACTTTTTTCCCAACCTACGTCGCAAATGAAAGTGTCGATTAAAAATGTTCATTTATGCTATTGCTGTAGGGCATGTATTCAATGACATTTCAAAAGCATTTGTCAATTTCGCTTAGCCACTGGCCTGTTTGATAATAATAGGTATTTACACTTGCGATTAGCAAGCGTTATCAAATCGGAATATAGACTTTTTTTGGTTAACAACTTGTTTTACAGAATCGCTTGGTATCTTGGTCCCGAGTTCGAATCTAACCAGGTTCTGTTTTTGTTTCAAACGGGAAAGGTTCCGTTCCAAAAAGCTTGTCGGCTTATTATTTGCCTACTTATGTTTTCGGGGCTTAGTTGCCACATCATAGAACTTTTTTGTTTTAGGAAGTTTTCGTTGTATTTGCGTTTTATGTTTTCATTCACTTCTGCAATTTGTAGTTCTACTAGCCTTGACTTCTTTTTTTGCTAAATTTTTTTTCGGATTAGATGATTAAACGCCGTCGAATGTGTTTTCCGCAAAAAAACATCGTTCCAGACAACATTTTGAAGTTTTTTGTCGGGTTTTTCGAAAATTTTTCCGCTTTCGTTGGACTTAGTTGCTTCTTTTCCTTTCCTGTCTGCTAGCTTGCAATGCTATTTTTTGTGATATCGCAAGTGATGCGAAATTTTGCTTCGCCTTTGGCTATGAAAATATATGGGAACTGGTTTTCTGATATTCTTTGGAAAATTTTTGTTTTTCGCAGAAGTTTTAGCTTTTCTAGAAAACTACCTCAACGATTTGTTTTAAAACGTTGTACCAATGAACAGATCGGCTATGCCACTGGTTTTTTTTTTGTTCCATTATTTGAGAAATTGCCCTGCCATGAGAGACAAAAAATCAATTTGGTAAAGCGTGTAATTATGATCTTCCTGCATAAATTGTTACAGCCTAACTTTTGTAGAAAAAATTTTTGGCGTTGTAAAGTGTTCACATTTTGAAAGTTTGGCCGTTTTTCGGAAACCTTTTCATTTTTGTCGAAAACTACCAAGCTTGCTCTGAGATGAAGAAATCGATTAACAGAATGACTTGCTTTAGTAGAGAAATCATTTCTGTGTTGGGTAAAGTCCATTTTTGCCGTTTTAAAAATAACGTTTTTCCTCCCGCATCAGTAAAACATATTCTAGGAAAATTCAAACAGTTACATCAAACTTGAAGGCCTACTAAATTTTAATCATGAAGTTCAAAAGTGGAAGTTTTTCAAAAACAAGCTAATGGTTTTCTTTTAATTCACGTTCATTGGCTTTTCTCCAACTATGTCTCATAGCTATGTTTTCATTTTCTAAAGCTATTTTTTAGTCGTTTTGTCTCTTGTGTTTGCGAAGTGCTGCTTCGCCTCTGTATTAGACAGCCAAAGCCTTATCAATACAAATTTTTTACTTTTATTTGTTTGCCTTAATTGTTCAGACTGTCGAAAGTGAGTAATTTTTCTCGGGTTGGTTTTTCCAGACAATTTTCTATTTAGCCGTTTGTGACGAATTTTTATAAAGCATGAAAACAATTTTCACCTTGATCATTTGTTGTAAAGTAATTAGGGATTGAATTTGGAACTACTGTGACTACTATAAGGCAAATGGGGATACTCAGCGCGTTATATTTTGTAGAGTTTCATATTTCGGAATGAGGAAAGCTGTACGTTATAGCGAGTGTAGAATAGAAAAGATAAAAGAGAAAGAGTTCTCATTGTCATTAAAGGGCAGTCGGAACTTTCAAGGCTTCGCCATGATACGAGAAGTCTTGTTTGTTACACAATAAAAAGTGGTTATCCTGGTCCGAGCGGATCAGTGGTTAATATACAGCCATTAAAGTTTGTATGCCAAGGGAAGGGTACCAGATGTTAAAGTGTAAAAAAACTAAGTGATTGACACTTCTATAGGTCTCGATAAGTTTTTTCAAGAAAAAGTCTTAAAATTTGTTCACGCCCAAGTTTAATTTTCCGAGATTTGGCTTTTGTCTTTTTTAAAGTTCGTCTCTTTTCCTTTGTTCACACTAGCGAACTGGCGAGCGTTAGTATATAAGTACGAACGTTCTTTTTTTCTAAGCCAGCTCGCAAAAACAAACATTGAGTGTTCATTGAAAGTGTTCATTTACATGCAAATTTCTCTGTGCCATATGAAATTGCATAGCTTCTGCTCTCTGCTTTATTTGTGGCTAGTGGTTGTGGTTCCTTAAGCGTCCGTGTGTGAGCGGTTAGTGTGTGAGACTCATAATCTCTAGGTCGCAGTAGATCGTAGGTTCGAATCCGAGACGAAACGGAATTTTTTAGTAATTCGAGGCTTATTTCTATTTTTTTTCCTTTTGCTTTTTATAGAGCTGCTTTTTTGTCGTATTCTCGCTAATGTTTGCGAAGCGCAGTTTCACCTCTGTATAAAATGACGCAAACTCGCTATCGCACAGCGAAATTGTAAAGGTCACGAAAAACCTGAGTGTTTTCCAGTTTCAAAAATAGACTTGAGTTTTTTTGGAATTACAGATGAATAAAGTTCCTGTTAATCCAGTTTTCTCTTTGAGTTAAGTTGTGCAGCAATGGGATATTCTTGTTAAGATTAATAAACGTAGTGAAGACTCTTGTATAGGTCTTGGTGTTTTTTTTTGTTGTTTTGTTTTTTTTTTTCAGGTAAAAGTCTTAAAATTCTCTAATAACTACAGATTCATAAATATTAATGCATTTATGAATGCAGTTAGGTATTTATCCTCTTTTTGAGTTCAATTGAAATTAATCTAAAAACTTTACTTATTGATCGAGTTTTCTCAAATTGGGTTACTGTTATCAAAAAAGCGCCAATCATATTTAATTCTAGAAATTCAAAGAGCTTAAAGGGCATCTATTTTTTTCAATTTCTGTTTTTTTTTCTATTTTCTTGCGTTCATTACTCTTTTCCAACTGTTAGTTTGCTATGTTTTGGCTTAGTAATAATCATTTGTTTGACACTCAGTATGTGACGAATTCTTAAGTTAGAATTCACAATCCTCGGATTGTCGTCTGTCAGGTGTTTTTGAGGGAAATGTATGTTTTCATTTATTCTTCTGTATATTTTCATTTATGGTTCCTATTTTTGATTAATATTCTTTGTGTTCAATTTAGTCATAAAGGTGCATTAATCGTTTTCTTTTTGGTGAAACTTAATGTAGCTTTAAACATCATAGTTGACTTGAAAGACTTATTTGGTTGCCGAAGCAAAAGCCATTGAAGAAAGCTATGCTTTTTATAGATTTTGCGATAATGATGGTAGATGCAATTATCATAAATTTAATAAATCCAAAATGTAATCATTTAACTTTCTAAGAGTTAACAGGATGTTTTTTTTTAGAAAAGTGAATTTCTTAAAAAAAGGCAACATAGTTTTGATTCATAAAAACTTGAAGTAAGATTTTCAATTTCTGTTAGGTTTTTTTGACTCTTAAGGGCGGTTTTCTCTGTTGGCTGTGTTTATCATTGTCTAAATGTTAGTTTCCGCTTTGTAGCTTCTGAAGACGAAGTTGATTCTGCGGAAGACGGGCGAGTACTCGGGCATCGTGGACTGTGCAGCCAAGGTGTACAAGGAGGGTGGACTGCGTGTGTTCTACCGTGGATACATTCCCAATGCAATAGGAATCATTCCATACGCTGGAATTGACCTCATGGTCTATGAGGTACATGCACGTTTAGAATATTTTATCATGTTATTTTGTAAATTAAGTTGGTTCATGCATGAGTTATTTATTTATTCATTTTTTGTTGAAAACGGGAAGGAACTTGGTATTCGGGTGTTTTTTCGCTTTGTTTTCCACGCAAAATCAAGTACCACAATTAATTATCGGAATGGGTCGAGTGATATACCAAATTAAAGCCCTTTCAGTCGTTATTCGAAAGATGTTAGATAATTTTCAAAAAGTTGTCCGTTTCGAGAAAAACTGATTTTAAATTTGATTATTAGTTCAATTTCGAGCGAGTGAAGCGATCGAGTGACGATCGTTATATAACAATTTATTTTATTTTGACTTTTATGCTTAAAATTCCTTATTTTCACCAGAAATAAAACTAATTTTGGATGTTTGATTTAGTGTTTACTTGGCATTAAAGGTTTTCTAAAAAAGTGTATTTAAAAATTTATTGTGCAAAAATTAGAAAAAGCGCTTTAATTTTTTTATTGTCACTCATTTTTTGAAGACAAGAATAATCGATTATGTTTCATTCGCTAAGATTCTACGCGGTTCTAATTTTCTCGAATCACGCATTTGTATAACTTTCGAGTCACACCACGCACTAAAAACGGCACTAATTTGATGAAAAAAATAACTTTAAAAAAGTGTTAAAGTTGTTTATGAATATGGACGGAAAATTCTGTGCTACTTGCGGGGCAACCTGATATTCTTGTTACCCTTGCGATACTTATCCCTTAAGATGAGCAAAGGTATTGCAATCGGGTAAATTACTTCACAGGACTCATCTGGACTCCTGGTAGTACCTTGGTTCATAATGAATTCAAATTTCTTAGTGTCTCCTGAACACTTAGCCAGGAGGTGAATCGTTTTTTTTTTGCTGTAAACTAACTTTCACTTAAGTTTCTGTAAGGTTTTCAGCATTTTGAAATTTCGGCCGAATCGAAATTTGTTTTTTACAATGGTTACAATGTTTACTAACTCGATTTAAAATTTCATTTTTTTTTCATTTTTGTCTGTCTTATTGGCTTAATAAGTTTTGGCTTATCTGATATCAATCTAGTGGCGTCGTTTGGGGATTGAAAAAAGTTTTTCTGTGCTTCCATGTTCTGAGGGCAAACAAAAGGACATAACATTTTTCATTTAGTTAAGAATTTTGAATTTTTTTGTCATGAAGGTTTGTGCTCAGGTATTTTCGGCTTTGTTATCGCTTGTTAATTTTAAAATCAAAATCAAGCAACAATTCGGTGTATCTAGTTTAGAGGCAATTGCTTGAGACCCCAAAGGGTTGCGGTTCAAATCCGGCTGGGACCTGTTTTTTTTGCAAACTGGAGTTTTTGAAGGTTCATCTTTTTTCTATATTGCTGTAACCCCTAACCCTAACCCCATGCTGGAGAACAAAAAGCCCGATTTTTTTGAAGGTTCACCTTTTTTCTATATTGCTCTAACGCCCATGCTTGAGACCAAAAAGCCCGATTTTTTGAAGGTTCATCTTTTTTCCATATTGCTGTAACCCCCATGCTTGAGACCAAAAAGCCCGTGAATTCGATTCCAGTCGAAACCTATTTTTTTTTGCAAATTGAAAATGTTCGGCTAATATAGATTTTTGTCGGCTTAGTTCCGCAGGAACGATTTTTGCTGAACCTTTGGTTTCTGTCTAGCATTCTGAAGGGTCTTTCTGAAGTTTTTGATGACTGATTTTTGGGCTTTTGTTGCAATTTTTCATTGACAAACACGATTTCTTGAAGTTTTTTTCTATTATTTTGTTGGAGTTTAGGATTAGTCATTCATATTTGTATCGCAAGTGGTGCGAAACTCAGTTTTGTCTCTGTGTTGATATTTGAAAATGTACTTGTTGGAATACCTGGTTTTTTTGATGATGACTATCGGTTTGACTGATGTTTTTCCATGAATCGATGGGTCTCATTTTTACAACGCTCTACGACAGATCTGTGTGTTTTAGACTTTAAAAGGACGATACCTCTCCAGTCGTACTTCAGATCAGTCATCCGGACAACCTCCAGGAGTGCCAGTGGTGCTATTCTGTGGCGCAGTCTCCTCTTCATGTGGCCAACTGGCTAGCTACCCTTTCGCACTCCTCAGAACCAAAATGCAAGATCAAAGTAGGTTCCTTTTTATTTGTACCAAGTTAAGGAACATTTGATGTCATAACTTCTGCTGTACATCTGTTCTTGTGGTATGTTTTGAAGAATAAATGAACAAAGCGAAGGCAATGATTTGGGCCGGCGTTTTTTTGGTTTTTTTTGGAGAAATTTTTTCACGTTCAAATTTATTTCGTTCAAATTTATTTTTCTCGCAGTTTTATTTTTTGATTTAATTTTTCTTAAGTAACTTCAAATTGATGACAAATTCGCTGTAGTTTTGCTTCCCGAGTTCATTTACACGTTTACAACTGCATCTTGGCTTTATTTACTCTTCTAGTCTTTTGAAATAGGTTGTGTTATTTTCTCAATGTGCACAATTGAATCTCGGGTTTTCGCAAATTGGGAAGGTGTAGCCTTTGTTGCAAAAAAACATTAAAAAGTATTGTCAAAAAGCTCTTTCAGATTGCCTCTCATAATTTTCATTTTGTTATAATGCTGTCAACTTGATCGGCCTTTATAATTAATGCGTTTTTTGCAGCGGCATCTGTGCGACGTCAGCCTTCAATGCGCCAGCTGGCCTTGCACATAGTTCGAACAGAGGGACCCCTCGGACTGTACAGAGGCATCATCCCCAACTTCCTCAAGGTCATCCCAGCTGTGTCTATATCATGGGTGGTCTACGAAAACACCAAACGAGCACTGGGGCTGTAGCTACTATTTTATGTCGTAATAAAAAACAACAGCAACCATTGTGCCTATTTGAAGACTTGTCTGAAAAAGGAAGATCATCAGAAAATTGGACTCTAGTTGACTAATAGTAGTAGAGGCAGTAGCTAAAATTAGATTAGCTGGTCTAGTATAATAACGCTGGTCTTGTCTGATAACATTTTGAACGAATCTGAGGGGTGTCAACAAGTTTTGATGTATCATTACAATGACAATAGGTTTTTTTTTTAATCATTTTATCCACGAGGGATAGGAGCAACATACGAGCTGTACAGCTCATCACGGCGAACCGCTGTTGTGCCCCTGCTTAAGGTTAACTTTGAAGAATAACTTCCTTTTCAAGAATATGTGTGTGAAAAAATTGCGCGGTCTTACAATGAAAAAAGACCATGATATTCTTTGTTTTTAAAGGAAAAAATTAAGCTCTTTGCGTTATTAACTATACTACTAAACTACTATGTCAGTAGTACCTAGTACTAATTGGTCTTGGCAGTACTATAGTTGGCTAGCTCTCATGAACTCGTTGAAATCTGTGGTTGCCTAAATTGAAACCTTAGAGTTTTCCAGTTATTTCGTAACCCCTATCACAGATTGGGCAGAAGGCAAATGAAAATTTGTGCTAAATGATCCCTTCCTATTTTCGAAGTAAACTATAGTTTATTTATACGTCCTTGAAAAACTAATAAATTTTCAAATTGATTGTGCGTTCGAAGTCTTCAATCTGATTTTTTTTAGTTACCTATTTACATAAGTATCACATAATCCTATCCTCATTTTGTTCAAATGTGCCGCCTTTTTTCTATATTTTTGCATCAGAGAGTATATAGTATTATAATACCGTTACATTGTGTTTTGATGAATTATTCAATTTGGAATCAAAATGATCTTGAACATTTGCAATATAATTTTCGTCGATTCTGATTTTTTTCTACAATTGTTTTGGAGATCACATCACTAGGAAATGTTTGATGCAAAGCAATGGTATTTAGCGTTTTTTTAGCTTGTAGATGGTTTAAAATTAATTATTAAAAAAAGCACTGCAATAAAATGGTCGGTGAATGGGAGCATAAAAGAGGGCCAAAAACTAAATATACTTGTATTTTATTATACCCATCAATTAAAAACTAATATAAAACGGAATGCGAAAATTTTATGAGCCTACTCTTGATCGAAATATCGAATCATCGATAACTAGAAACTTTTCTGGGTAGAATTGGTGATAAAAAACCAGCTTCGAGAAACACGTAATGGAAAATAAATAGAGAAAGTTAAAAACCTCTCATTCAAGGTTCAAAGTAAAACCTTACAGTCCGTTATTTAAATTTGTTTTTATGTTTCGGTTTCGATTAATGTAAAGCTATATGCACCTGAAATAGAAAATTGTTACATAAATTGCCAAGCAACCAAACGCTAAACAGGAATTCAAATTCGCCAAACCTCAGTAGAAGTCCTTCTAACAAGACATCAAAAATTAATGGTTCGTAAGGGACCAAAATTCCAGTTACGCGTCAAATCCTAATTTCATCTAAATTTTTGTTGAAAAAATCCTAACTGATAAAACTGAATAAAAGAATAAATCAATTCTAAAAATGAGGTGCAAAAGCGTTGCAAAAGCATTTCTTTTGATGGCCATGATGGTAGAAATGCACATCCTCATGACCTCGAAGACCATACAAGCTGTTACCAATGCATCACTTGCAGTAATGGAACGGATGCAGAGACGGTATTCAATGCTGCCTTTGGTAAGTAAAGCCTAGTTATTCTACGCTGTGAATTAATCTGAAAACTAGTGTAAATCTCTTCTTATAGGACTAAAAGATTGAATAGGGCTGTTTCTCCAACGATTGTGCAATACCAAATATCCCGATATCATCACGCGACAGCGAAAATTGCTTCATTTTTTTCTCGGTTTCTTAGTATATATCTTGGGATTTTGAATTTCTTTTATCAATCTTAAATCAATTTGGTCAGAACACTACACAGAAACCAGTAATCCATGTTAGTTTGAATATGAAAGCACACGCTAACAGAAACGGCTTAATGCTCAAAACTCACAAAAACATCATTTTGGCGTATTTTCTCATGAATGTTTTGCGATATAAGGTGCATTTTATGTGGTTGTGGTTTGAGCAATGTGCTTGAGAAATCAATTTGATCCAACTAGTAAAACCTGACAAAAAATTGATTTTTTGATCACCAATTTTGATAGGAAGACTCAGCTTTCAGTTTTTTTTTGTCGCGCCAAATGAGATAATAACCCACAGAAACGTCGTAGTGTAGCGAAAATGTGTAATACCACATATAAGGGCTTTCAGTTGTCACTCGAGCTGCAATAAAAGTCCGCATCAGTCGTGTCAGATTTGGAAAAAAAGTAAATTGAAATTTTGACTAGAATAATTTGAATTGAAAAGCGGATGACATTGAGCTACGGAATCTAAAGTAAAGTTGCTCATTTTTTTTGCTTACACTTATTGATTTCTTAGATAACTTTTTTGATGCTCCGGGCCCGTTCTCTCCGCAAAAAAAATGACGTTTTGAAGAAAAAAAAGATTTTTTTTTTGCGAAAATGAACGTAATCGGAACATTTTTTTGCCACTCAGAACACTTTTTGAACGTAATCGGAACATTTTTTTGAAGCCAACTCATTTTACAAAACCCTTTTAAAGCTGGGCGTGCAAGTTTTCGTTTTGTGTTCATCAACTTCAGTACTGGACTATTTTTTGGTACCTTTCGAAGGGAAATATCTGTTAAGAAACTATTTTTCTTATTGGATCTAGGGCTAGGTGTTTTTTCCAACTTCCAAAATTGATGTGTGGATTCTGTTATGGTCGGAGGAATTCAGTTAAATTTATTTGAATGTTGTAAATATTTGAAGGCAACCTTCTCACCACTGATGGATATGCACCCTGGTACGACACCTGGCCGTTTCCAATGTATAGCCAGAGGTGTCCCGACACTGGTAACCCAGGAGTAATGACCTTGAGTGTGCCTGGAACCAACTGCATCTCGATGTACTTCAACGCCTTTGCAGATGATGACGTCGACGGACACAAGAACGTGTTGTTGTCGTGTGTGGTTTTGAGTGCTGTTGAGACTCTGATACCGGCCTATGGGGATTCGAACATGTCCTTGGGTGCATATGAGAACGGTTTGTTGTTAATTAAAGATCAGTTGAAAACTGTTCAAAGGTGATAAAAACAAGTGGCAAGTTCAAAATTTAAGTTTGGATTTAATTTTCAAAAGTCCACGGTACCATGTAGATATATTCAGTAAATAAAACAAGACCACGGTACCATGTAAATATATTCAGTGAATAAAACAAGACAAAATAAACTGATTAAAAAACGCGTGCCAAGTATTTTCATGATAATCAATAATTTGGGATATAAAATACTAACATAGGAGCTGTTCGTCAATTAGTTTCAGACAATCTCTGTTTTCGCTCTGATGAAGACCGTATGGGAAATGTTGCGTTATGGTTATTTAATGACGACGGATTGTGGTGTGGATCGAAACACCTATTTTTCGAATGAGAAATAAAAACTGAAGCTCCCTCTCCCTCATTTCTTATTTGTGAATTTGTTTTTTTTTATCTCAGTCGTAAGTCAGGAGTGGTTATGATGGTCTTCGAATACTCAAAACAATGCTTTGGCAAGTTATTATTTTTTAAATAGTTAAACAAAGCCAGCACCCTCCAACAAACCTGTAAAATTGGACAACTAGTGTTGGTGCAAACTTTCCTTTCACGTGGATGGACAAATTTCACAATTGACATAGGCGTCATTCATTCTGAAACTTCAGACCAGAAAATTTTTGATCCGATCATGCAACAATTTTAGCAATATGATGAATTTTCTTTTTTAATGCACTGTATTCGTTCTCTGCCACTTTTAAAAATGAAAACGTACAAAACACAATTAATCTAGCTAAACATATCTTTTGCAGCTCTGGAGGGGATTACAGCGACTGGTCTTGAAACTGACCTTGAGATGGCTCCTTCCAGCAGCAACTTGGTGTCCTACGTGACCACTGAAGTCACTCTCTGTCGGGACTCAATCAACTGCAACGACATTCCCATCCTCGACCTCGCCACAATCTCCTTCATAGTCGGAACATATTCCGAAGACATGAGCTCTGCTGTGAGTTTATTCCTGTACAATCTTTGTTCATTTGCGGTCAAACTTGTTGCAAAACTTGGAGTAAAAATTAAAAGCTTGAGCTTTTGCCAAAAATGACAAGAAATTGGAGCCAAACCATTTTCAAGTTTGGTTTTTTTCTCGGTTTGTTTTTGATCTGTGCTGTAATTCAAATTGAATTTTCACGAGCCAAATCTTCCATTAAAGATTAAGGTACAGTCTGCACCCAAAAGTTGATTATCTAGATTCAATCAAAACTATGTGCTGCTTAGAGCCTTTAAAATGCTCCCTACCAATACAAAAATTTAGTTGATTGTTTTTTGTTAAGATTAATATGTACCATGGTGTGCATTTTATGTTGCATCAAAACTAAAGGTTCAACTTTTACAAATTCTAGGGAATCTGCGACAGTGGCGGAGGGGGAGGGGGAGGGGGAGGGGGCAGCAGCACTGATGACATCACAGCCGCAATCGCCGACCTCTGCGACCAAATGCTCAGCCGACTCGAGGGCACTCTCTCGTGTAAACTCGTCGCCATCCAGTCCGTTCGGACTCCTGGCAAGCGCTCACGACGGCGAAGATCAGCCGGCATGTCAGCTCAAGCAGTCGTAGAAATAGAAGCGAACCCTGGAAGCGGATACAACTCGGACCAGTATGAAGAGATCTTCGTGGCGGCCCGAGCGGCATTGGCGAGCGGCGAACACGCGTTGGTCATTGCCGAGTTCGCGACAGAAGCAAGAGTCGGAATTGAACGAGGAGGATACGAATCGGGTTCGCCGAACAAGGTGTCGGCCTCATGCGCTTTTTTGATCCTTGTAACGTATTCAATGATCAACCAAATTCTCTAACTGAAACAGTCTTCAAAAACAACCACAGCATAAACTGTGACCAGAAGTAACTAAATATTACTTGTGAACAAAGATATAAATGCTACTGTTATGTAAGAACGATTATTTTTTGTTCAGGAACAGTAAAAAGTTTCCTGCGGAAGTTCAAATACTTTATAATCATGGAACTTTCAAAAATGAATTGGCTAGCGATTTTCTTGTCTTTCTGATTATAAAGATAATTTATGTTTCTGAAAGATTTAGTTTATTTCTAAATCGAACTCGACGAACAAAACGATGTGTAGCGAGTGATATCTTCTCATTCGCTAGATGTTACATTTCATATGAAGTTTTGAAGTTTAATCGCTAGAGTTTTGAAAAAATTCGCCGGTGACTGTGTCTGAAACTCGGCATTTTCTGCAGATGCCTGAGAAGTCCCAAGTGTTCCGACCATTGAAAATGGGGAAGAATTTTGTCTTCGAGTGTGTTTTAGATTTTTTCCACGCAAAATCAGGCACCACAAGTAATCATTGGAATGAATCTAGTGACATATTATAATAAAGCTTTTGCATTTGTGATTCGAACGACATCAAAAAACTTTCCATTCAGTTTTCCGTCGAGAAACTTTTTTTTTGAAATTTTTGAGTTTTTGTCCAATTTGGAGCAAACACAGCGATCGAGAAAGTCTCATTTAAAAAATCATTCAAGAAGCAAAAAACTTATTTTCACTTCAAGTTTTTGCAAATGGTCGGAACTTTTAATTTATTTGCACTAAAACCACTTTAGGTTGATATCTTCTCACTTTTTGGAAAGTTTTGACTAAAAAATAGCGTTTTTTTGGAGCGTACTCCCCTTCAAAACTGTCATGTATTGGCCCTAAAGGCGGATTTAGAAAAATTAGAGGGTTGTTCGGCCTAAAATGGATTTCATTAACTAATAGCAGAGGGGTGACACTGTACTTGATGACGGAGTCGAATCCCTGACAGAAGGCGTCCACCCGCCACCCCCCCCCCCCCCCTGAATACGTCCCTGGTTATATTGTCATGGAGTGAAATTGTTAAATGAGTTGGATTTTAAGAGTATGAAGTTAAACGTAGAACACAAGTAAAAACTATACTGGTCTGATCTCTTCCTTGGTGAATTTTTATCGGGATTTTTGAAAAAATAGAAAAAAAAAAGAAAAAACAATTTTACCTTTAAGTGAACTATAGCATCAGATTACGACAAAATTACAACACGGCAGCATCAAAATGTCATCTAGAGTATCAGTAGCTTTATGAATTGCAGGGTATAGACAAAGGCTTTATAAAGTTCTGGATGAGAGTTGACCTAGTCAGTTAATTGAAACGTAATATTTGACTGTAGTGCTACTTTACCGCAACTAAATGATATTGGGTTCAAAAATTCTTATTTTTTTTCAAACCGGCTCCCGATTGATTAATAATGTATACGAATTTTGAAAATATTCTGAAGAGGTACAAAATAGACAAAAACATGTCAGAACAACAATCTCTGCTGCTCTAAAACTGATAACCCAGACGTCCTGATTTCTTTTGGGTATAAATAAACAGATCAAAATTAGGTTTCAGATCCTGGTCAAGGTTCTTGTTATGGACCCATTTCCGTTATTAAAGACAACCATGTCGATCATTTCACTAAGCTAGCATTGATATTTACTCTTAATATTGGTTCCTCGCCATTCTTATTACGACAGTATTTGGAAATCAACAGCGGCTTCCTGATTCCTAGACAACCATCCTAATTTTGATCTTCATTGAGCACTCAACTGACTGAAAAAAAATACAAAATTGAACTGAAATTAGGTCTTTCCCAATATCACTCCCAGGTAAATTATAACTTCTTACAATAAAAAATAAATGTTGATTTTAAACGCTTTTTAAATACTAAAAGTGAGAGGGGAACAAGATTTTTTGGTGGAACCTTCCTAAAAGTGCGTAAAAACGTAATTTTTGTCCCGTGTTTTCTAAATTTACCCTGCTTCGCATAAATTTTAGACAAAATAGGGTCTTTATAGTGGTTTGTGAGAGCTCTGATAAACAATTTGACCGACCTAAAAAAAAGTCAACAAAATTGCCGAGAAAAAAAACCTGAGATAACGCTAGATTCGTCCCTGCTTTCACGCGTGAGCTGACATGCACAAATTTTTTGATAATTCAATAAATATACCTTTTAGTTCATCATGGGTAGTAATTAAATTTTTTAGATATCCTTATCGAAAAAAGTTTTTAAATGGGAAACAAAATTTCGTCCTTATCGAAAACATTTGGTCCTAATTTCCACCGACTCTTTTTCCGTTTTTCTTCCAAATGCTATTTGTATTCATCGATATTCTTTCTAGCAGCTTATTTAAAAAAAAACGGGTTTTTTTTTATATGAACAGTTTGTAAGTTTACTATATCTGATTTTGAAAATGTTTTGTTTTTTTTTCCTTTCATAAAAAAATACTTTGCCTTACATAATGGACAACTTGAATTGACAGAATCAATGTAAATCAAGCCAAACGGTAACATTGGTTCTGTCAATTCAAATTGTCCATTATAAAAGGCAAAATATTTTTTATGCTTTTGTTAGAAGGTATGGGTCATAAAAAGGGTGTCGCACTCCCCACGATATTTAAACCCCTATGTTTACACCCCCTATCTTATAACCCCGTAACATGATAACCCCTCAACAATTTAACCCCCTTTTAATGACGATAATTTGTTTCAAATTAAGTCCTTTTTATAAGTACAGGAATAGTCCAATTAAGTTTACTAATTGAGGCCTGAAAAGCTAGTCTTAATTCACTTGATGCCTCTAGCATCTCAAAAACAATGGCATTTCGATCAGTTAGAGAAATAATCCCTCATTCACGCGTTCAAAACAGAGATAACTTACATGGTGCTAATTGAAGGCACCGGTCGGTAAATGATTCTCAAAGCTTTTCAAGGCTTTTAATAAAAATCATCCGAGACAAAGGTATGATATTTTTATTGATGTAGGTAATTTTCCTCTGCCGCTTCTTATTCTGTTCGCAATCTTGTAATGCAATGTTTGGATCTACCTAACAATTGCCCCCCCCCCCCCCCTTCAAGAAAGGGGGGAGGCAATTGTTAAGTAGACTAAGTTGTCGAATTTTTGGCCGATCAGATTGCAGCAAAATTCGAATTTTATATAGAACTCTCTAGTGCTAATTTACTGCTTTCATTTATAGGGGTGGCAATTCTTTAGATACCAAATGGAGGGCGATTGTTAAGTAGATCCCAATGTTTTTTTATATCGCACGAGTTGCGATTTGTACGATACTTCAACTGCAGCATTCCAGCCTTGTTTCATAGAAAATTGGCTTTTAGCAGCGCTTACATCATGCTGGGGGAAATGAAAAACCAACGATGTTGCTAATTGTTTTTTTTTCGAAAGTTTTAGTGATGGCTCGAATTTTTCACAGTGCTCCGGGCTCTTCAAGAAATTGGTTGTCCGCACATGGAATATTCTCCGGGATGTTTTTAAGAGATTGAAGAAATGAAAAAAAAATCGTAATTATGTTTTTGATAGCTGGAAGACATATAACAAAAAAAATGTCCTTATTTTTAACTGAAGTGGATTTCATCAAAATTTTGTATTACTTCACAAGTTTTTTTGCTTAATTTTATCTTCAGATATATTTTTTGTAAATTTAAATAAGGCATGTAAATATAAATAAGACATGCATAATGTAACCAGTCACTATGAAAAAATAGTTTTTTTTTAATGCTTGGAAAAGTGAAATTTAAAAAAAAAAACAAGTAGAATACCAAAAGCATCCTTGCTGAAAACCACCTCAGTGTCGTTTATAATCATCATTACTCTCAATTTGCCATCTCATGTAAATGCTTCGGACCATTCACCTGGAAGAAATGGCACTCAGCCGAATATTGTGCTCATACTGGCCGATGACTTGGGCTGGAACGGCGTCGGCTTCCACGGCAGTCGGCAAGTGAAGACACCGAATATTGACAAACTGGCTGAGGAGGGACTGGTTCTGAACAACTATTATGCACAGCCGGTGTGCTCGCCCAGCAGGGCGGCACTGATGACAGGTAGATAATTAACCTTTCCTATCATCGCAAGCCCCCTTCCTACATTTCATCCTCAAGTCAACTCCGCATCATCAACTCTCCTTTCCATACCTACTTCAAATTTGTCATGCTTTTATGGTTAAAAGCTAGGCTGAACAATTTACGATGGAAGATATGAAAAGTATATTTATTTCGAGTTTTTTTTGTTTGTGCACAGCATTTCAATTTCCATTACATTGTGAAAATACAAACTTTTGTTTTTCCATATTCAAGTTTGGGGAAATTGTTATATCCTGGGTAAAGCTTATCTTTTATATACAAAAGAAATTGAGCAGTTTCATGGAACACTTAGGTTTAAGAATTCTGAATCGCTTCTTGTCTGTTATCGCCAGGCAGATAACCAATAAGGACTGGTCTGCAGTTTGCGATGATCAGGAACAGACAGAGAGTAGGGATACCCCTGGACATCAAACTCCTCCCAGAACACCTCAACGACCTCGGATACGAGAGCCATGCAGTCGGTAAATGGCATCTCGGCGTTTTCGCGGAAGAGTAAGTTGAAAGTCTAGTCTAAGTGTGTTATGTGTTTTGATTTCCCTTACATTAGCAGTCATCATACAAAAAAGCTGCAATTTCTTTCAACCGGCAAAACCAAAAAAAAAAACGAAGAAAAAATTTGCTTTTTTATCTGCAATTGTATACCAAAAAATACAAAAAAATTTACAAAATTTACAAAAAAAGACCACTCCCCCTCAACAGATTCTGCTTGCAAAGTTTTCCAAATGATCCCCCTCTGGGACTATTTTATGACAGCCATTTCTGGCTAATCAACTCTAAAAAAAATTCTATAGGCGCCAAAATAGACCAATTTTGACATGGAAGCGTGAGCCAAAAAGACCCTTTGTTTGGTCATCAACTCTTAGCAAATGGCCTTAAGCGACTGTTTTTTCCAAGAGTGTTACCGATTATAGGTATTTTCAGGTTTCGACAGAGCTTCAAAAAATCGAAGTTGTGCATCAAAAAATTCTACCAAAAACCAACCTCCCTTCCCCACTACCTTATCAAAAATTCCGGATCTTTTAACCAGGGGCGGATCAAGGATTTTAACTAGTAACAGCTGAATTCCAAACTCAAGCAAAAACTAAGCAGATTACAGAGTAGTGAGTTTGCTATTTTTGGTAGTGAATCTGTCTTTGAAATTGATATAGGGACCAGTGTGTAAGTGCTATCAATTCTTCTAGATAGACACCAGTTTGAGTTTATGTAAGTGCTATCAATTCTTCTTTCTGTCTGGGGACCTGCTGTCTTGACCTTGCGATCTCTAATGTCCGATGGGATCTGAAATAAAAGAGTGCAGTAAGATTTCGATTTGATGCCTAACAGTTTGCCTATAATACAACTTATTAACAACCTTTTGAATTTCCAAACTTACGACTTTAACATGGCGCAGCCAGCAGAGAAAAAAGGAGGGGGGAAAATCCATTAAATATAGTAGTATTTTGGGAAACACGAACGCCGGAACCTCCAGTATATTGGGAGGAGTGGACAATTAAATTTCACTGGGGGATGATAGCAAAATACGACATTGATCCCGATGATTTCTGTTTTGCGAGTACTCTAAATGCGGCGGCTATCACGGCTTTGCCTGAAGAAGTCAATGGAAAAAACCGTATCGATTCGGAAAAGAAGTTAAAGTCTAACTTGTATCTTTGTATCGGAGATGAGGCGCAACGCATATTTAAAGCACGGAAACCGACGGTTAACATTAAAACGGAACGGTACCTACGGGTCCTGGATGAGATGCAAAATGTTTTCCAACGTGAGAGGAATGTAACTCATGAGCGGGGACTATTCTACGGACGAAAACAACGTGAGAACGAAACTTTCGAAAAATTTCATGCGGAGCTAAGTGCCCTAGCAGGAAGATGTGATTTTGCAAACGCGGCCGAAAACGTTCGTGATATTTTCATTATGAATAAGCGGGAATCGGACTGCCAACGAGAATTGTCACGATCAACTAAGCTACCGGAGGAAGTTTACCGGATCGCATTATCATATGAACGTGGTGAGCGCGCATACAAATCATATACGGGAAAACCAGCTTCATCAACTCCGGCAATTTCAATAAAACAGGAACCAGTAAATAATATAAGAAGGGGACAAGGATTTTTTCGAGGCCAAGGACGTGCGGGACGTGGAGGATATACCCAAGGATCAAGTAGTAGTGGGGGAAGCGAAAATAACCGTAGGTGCTACAATTGCGACGCGCCAAACTTTACCCTGGATCACATCGCGAGCTGTCCTGCAAAAGGAGCAAGCAACATGTAACTCATGCCGAAAACTGGGACATTTTGAACGAACATGCCGAGGAATTAGAAGGGGTACTAACCAATGGAGAGGACGTGGACGAGTTGGATTGGTCAGGGAGGAAAATGAGCATCATCAAAGTACGCAGAACGTAAACAAATTGAATGAAGACCCAGTATCGTGGGTGAATCAGCAGGGGTGTGGAGAAAACGAGTCCATGACGTCGGGATCGGATGACTACATGGTAATGTCGATAAAAAGGAAGAAAAATGAGACTGAATTAAAGATCCCTGGGGCCCGCGTTCAAGTGGAGGTGTCAGGTAAGAAGATGTGGTTGTGGATAGATAGTGGATCTCCAGTGACTATCTTCAGCATAAACGACCTAAAAACAACGTTAGGAAAAGCAAATATTCAACTACAACCGTCAAAGGAGGAATTTCTGCATTACAATAACAACCGAATAAACATACTAGGGAAGGTAACAGTGATGATGTCGCTAAATGGCTGGGCAGCACCAGCGCGGATGTCAGTAATATCCGGAAATCATCAATCAATACTTGGGCGCGACCTGATGGGCACCCTGGGTCTCGAGCTAGTTCAAAGGAAGAAAGTGATGGGAATCACAGGGGAAGGGACCAGTCAAGAGGAGGAGGAATACGACGAATTGCAAACATACTTCTGTAAGTTGTACCCAAGTTTATTTACTAGGATCGGAAAGATCCGGAATGCGAAAGTAAGAGCTGAATTTTTTGAAAACTTGAAGCCCATACAACAAAAAGGGCGTAGGGTGCCAATCAGTCTACAAGAAAAGGTGGATAAAGAGATTCATCGGCTGATAAATGAAGGACATATCATAAAATTACAAGAGTGCTCAGATAAGTATTTCGTCTCTCCTATCGTCATTACAGTAAAAAAGGACGGAAGCATAAAATTAGCACTAGAATCAAGAGAATTGAATAAACAGTTACACAAAAATAAGTACCAAATGCCGAATATTGACGAATTAATTGACGGAGTAAGTCAGACTATTGCGGAGAAAAAAATCGGGGAATGCATACTTTACAACATTGGATTTCACATATGCGTACGGACAAGTCGCATTAGAACAAAAAACAAGCGAGCAATGCAATTTCTCACTAGTCGGCGGAAAATCCACGGGGAGTTATCGTTTTAAAAAGGGATTTTACGGACTTACGTCAATGGCGGCGGAATTCCAGAAGGTAATAGATAATTTACTTAAGGAGTTCCCCCAGGCTAACGCGTTTATTGATGATATCTTAATTGCTTCAAAAGGAACTAAAATCGAACACATTGCGTTAGTGGAAAAGATATTGAAAAAGCTGGACGTCTCCAATGTCGCGTTAAAATTGCGAAAATGCGAATTTGCGAAAACTGAGTGTGAATGGCTTGGATTTCGAATTGGGGAAAGTGGTATAACGCCCTTAGTAAGAAAAACACAAGCTATAGAAGACTTGAAAACCCCAAAATCTCGAAAGCAGTTGAAATCCTTGATGGGTTCGTTACATAGCTTACACAAATTTTTACCCAAACTTGCCGAGTTAAGCGCACCGTTAAGGCCACTACTGAGCCAAAATAATGATTTTGTCTGGACACCCGTGTGCGAAAATGCGTTCCAACAATTAATCTCGCTTGTGAAAAATATCGTCGAATTACGACATTTCGACATTCACCGTGAAACTAGAATCATTTGTGACGCTAGCCACGATGGCCTAGGGGCCGTTTTAGAACAGTATGGCGCATCCAAATGGCATCCGATTTCGTTTGCATCTCGTTACCTTAATCCGGCTGAGAAAAAATACTCCACAAACGAATTGGAATTACTCGCGGTAGTGTGGGCTACGGAACTTTTTCGGAATTACATGTACGGTCGGTATTTCACAGTGATATCTGATCATAAAGCGCTACTTACATTGTTGAATTCGTCACCAAAAGGAAATAAAACATTTTTCAGTCGCTGAACTCGTTGGTATGATCGCCTGGTGCCATACGACTTTAAAGTTGAACATCGACAAGGGTCAACAATGGGGATGGCTGACTATCTGTCTCGGTTTCCGTCCGCAGAGGCACCCGAGACAAGCCATTACGATGAAAATTTTACAGTAGCAAAGATAAGAATGATAAACGCGGCGTTGAAGCCCAAGGATAAAATGAAGCCTAGGGGTCGAGAAGTGAACAACATTCAGCGAAAACCGACGGTAGGCGGCGTAAAGTCATGTTTCGACACAACGAAAGCAGTTTCATCCAATGAGAATGTAAGAAAAGACGATTATGCAAATATTCACCGTGAGCACAAACGCTCAATAGAGGGCGTGTTTACATGCAACCGACGGTTAACCAATCAGCGTCGAGATATTTGCATACCGGAGGAAATATGCAAATACCGAAGAACGAGATTCAGACTTTGTTCTCATTGCTTAAATTACAGTTGCAAACACAAAAAATTGATTCAATACCCTCGAAACCCTTCCATTTCAACAAATTACAAGTACAAACCTTCGGTGTCGAAAAATTATAAGTGCGAACCATCCATCTTACAAGATTGCAGTGAAAAGCCACCTACTTTGAAAATTTACAGTAGTAGAGATTATAGTGGAAAGCCAGTTACTTTGAAAAAATACAGTAGCATATCCGAGATAAATAACATGAGCAATACGCCAGAAAAGAATGATCCTCCAACTTCGGCAATAGTCAACACATCAACTAATTTGGGAAATGTTAATCTAAATGTTGTGTTAAACCGCCTAAGTCAACCTCCCAGCGTTAGCTCGGATTCCGATATTGAAATGATACCACCTGAAAAACTTGATACCAAACAAACTAATTCTAAAAAACTGAATACAATTATATCTTTTCCACATCAGTTCCCCGGTTTATCGTACCCACTTGTACAAAATCAAAAATGGATCTATTCCATAGTGCCGTCGGATAGTAAAATCGTGAAGCAAATTGAACACCCGGAAGTTTTGAATTTAAAATTAATCGAAGCAAACCTTGAAAAAGACCCAATTATGAAGACCATCCGAGACAACATCAGAGACAGGAACCCACGAGCAAAGACGATTTCGCAGTAAGGGAGAATTGCCTGTGGATGGACGGCCGGTTAGCAATACCGAAGGACCTATCATCAGCAATTCTAAATTGTCTCCATTATAACCATCATGGGAGGGATAAGATGTTCGCGGCGGCAAAGGACGTGTGGATTCCCCTTATGCACCGAAATATCGCGGCCACAGCCAAATACTGCAAAAGTTGTTTAGAAGCAGGTAAAAACCTTAAACCAGACATTCCCAAAAATGACATGGGGGAAACGTATAATCCTATGGAACCAAATGATTTGGTCCAATTAGACTTCTGGGGTCCAGTAAACTATGTTAGGGGTCGAAAAAAATATGTACTTGTAGCAGTAGATACTTTCTCGCATTGGCCGTCGGCGTATGTTTGTTCAAGCAACAAATCAAAAAGTGTATTGAAATTCCTAAGGAAGTACATAAATACTCATGGACACCCAAGGAAATTGCACATGGATCAAGCCACGGGGTTTTTCTCTAACGAAATTCAAAACTTCTGTAACTACGAAGGTATTGAACTTATTAAATCTCCGGTTAGGGACCATCGCGCAACAGGAATGGTTGAACGGACTATTGGGTCGATAAAAAATTACGTGTTGACTTATCTCCAGGAAAATAAAAACTACAAGTTTGGGGAGATGATCTCCCGTGCGCTTAGTGCATTACGTTTTGTGCCACACTCTAAAACTAAACTAACGTCGTTCGAAGCATACCATGGTCGAGAAGCTAATACGGCACTGCGAAACTTAACGAAAAAGCCGTCATTAAAAAACCTAAATTGGAACAATGTCGTTAATCAAAAGTTATCTTGTTTAGACAAGGCGGGAAACCTCCCAGAAGTTGAACTTACCCTAGATTGGGAGAAGAGAAGTAATTTAGTGTTCGCCCCTCAAAATAGGAAAGCTCCAATCATTTTGGACGATGACGAGTAGCGGATCCTAAGGCTCCGGAAGTTGTGGACCCCAAGGAACTAGGCCCACCCAAGACCCCAACATGGCTGAAAAGGCATAAAGCAAGTTCAACGACGGTGTATCAGAGGACCGGGAAGACGGATCCAAAGGACCCAAGGAGATATAAACGTTTGCCATTAAAAATTGACAAAATGACTAAACATACGGTGCAAATGAAAAAAGGGTCGTTACTAAGGCGGAGTGGTGTGTCTTTTAGATCGGCGGCTGAAGAAAGCCTAATTGGGAATAAAAGCGAGGAGTGCACCCCTGGACTGAGTAGAAACGTGACCAGTACACCGGCCCCAAGCGATTCGAATAAATATAAACGAAAAGCGGAGAAGGACCGAGCCGCAATGGAAAATGCAAGAAAATCAACAAAACAGCGAATAGTGGAATACTCGGCGGACGAGAGCGAAGACGACGACGACGAATACGATAGTGAGTGGGAAATTGGACGAAGGGAACCAACCCTAGGTGCGGCGAACGAAGGACAGGAAGTACCGTCGGTTAGTGTGAACTCACCACGACCCGTCGGTGGAAAACGCAATAAAAATCAGCACAAAACGGCGACGCGAAGATCAACACGGCAGAGCGCGGAGTTGACAAAATGGGGGGAGGTTATGATCCACCGCATAGAACATAAATGATGGAATCGACAAGACGAGAAAAGGAGAAAGGTAACCTTAAGAGAGGTTTGGCGGGTGAGAAAACTCAACAAAAACTAAAAACTTAACTAGTACATTTATACAATACAATACAGTAACATAAAGTTGATAAATTTTATCTACGCTAAAATTTATTTGTGGTTGCCCGAATGATATAGGGACCAGTTTTGAGTTTATGTAAGTGCTATCAATTCTTCTAGATAGACACCAGTTTGAGTTTATGTAAGTGCTATCAATTCTTCTTTCTGTCTGGGGACCTGCTGTCTTGACCTTGCGATCTCTAATGTCCGATGGGATCTGAAATAAAAGAGTGCAGTAAGATTTCGATTTGATGCCTAACAGTTTGCCTATAATACAACTTATTAACAACCTTTTGAATTTCCAAACTTACGACTTTAACAAAATCATGAAAAATTATTTCCCCATCTCTGTGGATGTACACCAAAGCCAAACTCAGGAAGCGATTGTCCTTGATATTAGACAAAGATAGTTTTTCAGCAGTTTTATAATAGAGAAGGAGGTTCAGTAGTGCTTACAATTTATAGCAGTGCTTACATGACTGATTGTTTGCTTAAGACATATTTTTATAGAATCCTTGAAAATTTCTATTATATCGCTGTAATCGGGGAAGTGCCACAAATTCCTCCAGACTTAGACCTTGCTCCCAAAGTCGCAATCCGGCATTACGTTTTGGTAGAGTGAAGAGTAAAGTGGAAGGGCATGGTCCAGTTTACAGAGCATTGTGAAGTTCAGTGAAGGTTTAAAATTGTGCAAGTTAGCTTGGGACTTGATATAGATCCTGGCGTGGTATGGAAACTGGGATCAGGGCCTAACGTGCTCTTTGAAAAAAAACGTTGAAAAAACAAGCCACTGCGTGGAAATTTTTGAAACTCATTTATTTCAACCATAACATTCAAATTCTTTTTTTGAAGATAGTTATGTCATAACCATTAAAATTTTTCTCTGAACCAAATGAACTCCGGTAATTGGTCAAAACGACCGGTAATTGGTCAAGCAAATATCTTAGATCTTTGATTTTTTTCTTATATTTTCAAAAATCAGGTAAGTTGCATTAATACGCCAAGAATACATCCATTATCAAATTACAATAACCAGTCGAAAAAAAAGTTCAAAACCAGCCAAAAAAACCTTCTTAATGACCAGCCGGAAAATGTTTTTTGTTGTTCCTTCTAAATAACATTCTATTCTATCACTTTTGCTTAATAGCTGTTTAATAGTTATCATTATTATCATATGAAACTCCAGCGAGAAAGGCAATTATTTTTTTAATGAAATTCTTTTGATTGTTTCAAATCAAATATTTAATTTTCTTTTGTTCTTGTCTGTAATTTTATTTTTGTTTCCCCTGTAGAAACCAGAAAGATCTAAGGGATTTAAAATTTCAATTTCCCGCAAAAAAGTCTGCGGATGTCAAATCTTAAATGAGATTACGCTTTCTGTCAAGATTGTGTTCCGAAATGATATTTAAGTTAATGCTATCGGTTTTTAAATTATCTGATTATTTTCGTTTTTCGTTTTTCCCTAAGTAGGGTAATATATAATCACAACACAATACAATTCCAATTCTATATCTGTGACTTTACGGAGTTCCGTGTTTAGGTACCTGCCCACTTTTCGTGGCTTCAATACCTTCTACGGACTTTACAATGGCAAGGGTGACCACTTCAGTCATTGGGACACAGAAAACGGAATGTATGGCCTCGACTGGCACTTGGACATTGGAAGGTATAACCGGACTAACGTGGTCGACGAAATGGGGAATTACTCTACGCGGGCTTTTTCAAAAAGAGCCGCAAAGTTGATATCGGAGCACGACTTTGAGAGCAAGCCACTGTTTTTGTATCTACCAATCACTGCACCCCATTCTGCCGAGAAGTATGACCCGGTCCAAGTGCCGAGAGATGCAGAAGAATTAGCAACGGTAAGATTTCATTTCTGGGCTTTCGAAGACATAAGTTTAAAATACAGACTTTTAATGAAGTTTTCAATTTTACATATAGCAACTTCTAAGAAATAGTTTGAAAGTTTCCCCATTCTGACATAAATATTTTTTCCACCTTCTCCTGGCATCGCATAACCTTTGTTGCCTTTAAAAACGTTTCCGGAAAATTTTAGGCCTAATTGAATTTATTATCATTATTAAGGCATAATGAAAAATGAGATCAAAATGATTGGTTTTCATCATGCGAAACTTCATTAGATTGTAATAACTTCATCGCGAAGTCCTATCAACGTATTCAAAATATTTTTTTAATGATTTTTCTGAAAAGCCTGAAAAGCATATATATTAGTATATGTAAGGATTATTTTAATTTTCTTTTGTGATTAGGGAACTTATCACGTTCAGCGGAGAAAGTATCTGGGTGTTGTGTCAGAAATGGACCAGTTTGTAGGACGTGTGAGAGACTCTTTGGAGTCCAAGGGAGTCCTCGACAACACAATCATCATCTTCAGTTCCGACAATGGAGGCACCCCAAATGGCCAGTATGACAACTGGGCTAGTAACTTTCCACTCAGGTCTGCTAAGGGCTTCCTGTACGAAGGGGGAGTGCGAGTTGCGGGACTTATTTGGGGGGACGTGATCAAGAACCGATCAGGACAAGTGTCGACTGAAATGATGCATATCTCAGACTGGTACCCGACTTTGTACAGCTTCGCGGGTGGGGACGCTGCAGACCTGGAAGATATTGATAGTTTCGATATGACTGGGGTTTTGACAGGGAGCAACACAACGTCACCCAGAACTGAGTTTGTCATCAACTTTGACCCGGCCGAATGCTCAAAAGGTATGCGAGTCGGGTGGTACAAATACTTATTAAATCCAAATGACTTCAATGAAGTAATAATGGACGATTGGTACCAAGCTCCAGGCAAATGTCCAGGGTCCAATGAAACCATGCTTCCAAACACCACGCCTTCTCAGATAACATGCGAACCGGTGCCTCGAACTCGTAAAGTCGACCTCAGATGCTACTCGGAGAAAAGTGGGCTGAATGAATGTTTGTATGATGTCGAAAACGATCCATGTGAATATTACAACCTTATCGATGATGAGGACTATCTCTCTATCAAGGAGAACATTCTAGAGCGGATTGAATTCTGGGAAAAGAAACAAGTTCAGCCTTTGATGCCCCCGAGTGATGTGTCTGCAAACACCAAGTTTTTCAACTACACATGGGTTCCCTGGACTACAAATACGACAATCGATACACGTTTGGAAAATTACACGCCTCATTCTTGCAACTGTACTTTTCCGCCGACGAATACCGAATCGTTGAATGTAGAAACATATGACACCTATGGTAATAAGTCTCAGGAGCAATTGAGCTACTGAAAAAAAATAACTGCTGCTGATAGACTTTCAAAATAATGTTTATTTTAATTTAAAGAATCATGTTGTTCATCGAAGTAGCTATTATTATCATCAGTAACAATTTATTTACCATTCAAGTTAGCCTTTGCATATATTGATTTTAGATTAAGGAAAAACCTTCAAGTAAATCCTTGAGCATATGGTTATCGCTGTAGAGAATGAAAAATGGATCAGCTGGCAGCCACACCTTTTCAAGATTTTTTGATGCTTAAAAAGTATTTGAAGGTTTATTAGAATTGCAGTTTCACCATCGAAGACTGGGCTTGTTTCTGAAATTGGTTCGCGGTTTTATGCAAAAATTGATTCATAGGCAGATCGAGAAACTGGAATTCTGCGGGTGATTGCGAACATTCTTGTTCAGACTACGCCAGGAAATGCTGGAAAGAACTATAGCAAAGGGTGGGTTTTTTCCAGCAAATTTAAGGTGTACCAAAGAAAAAATGTTAAAAGTTAAGTTTGATAGCATTTTAAAGCCCTCTTGAAAGTGACTCGGATTGCACAACAACAAAAGAGTTATTACTGTGTCGACAAAAATTGTCGCAACTTTTTTGATCTTTCAAGCAATTTAGAGCAAAACGGGCCTAAAAATTACGTTTCAAAACAACTAGTTCAGTTGTCAATTAATGTTTGCACGAGCAAACGCTTGTGCTACAGTGCAAGTTTAGATTTACTTCCAACCCAACTCGCATAGTTTGGTCCTCAACAAATTGGTGGCCTCTTTGCTGCGTAGAAAATTAGCAAATTGGCAACTTAGAAGTATGGGTTGTATCTGTTGTATTAGTGGCTATTGTTTGCAAAAATGATAGTGGTATGGCGCAATTTGTAGGACTTTAAACTTAACTCTGAGCAGCTTTCACTATCAAAGACTGGACATTTTTCTGTAGTTGGGTCATTTCTGTGCGTTTTAAGGAAGAAAGGCAGATAACAAGATCCTTCAAATTATCTGCAAGTTTTCATTCTTTGTTCTTTTTTCTAGCTGTTTGTGTTTTACTGCGAAATGTGAAATTTGTAGGTTTCTAACAAAATTTCAAAATAAAAAGTATCACTTTGCTCAAGCAGGATCAATGATAAGCTTAGAGTCTTGGGGTTATATAGTCATTATCAGGGCGAAATTTGAAACAGGCGACAATTTAGTGACAAGCGACAATTCGTAACCAGCAACAATTCGCAACAAGGCATTGAGAAGTAGGCTACGCTTGCTCCGCTTCGCTAACATCCAGAACGAGAGGAATACTGCACGTGAATCAGTATAACCCGCTCTTTCTACTGCTGCAAATTGTTGCTTGTTACGAATTGTCGTCTCACGATAGTCATGTAACGTATCTCAATGGTAACGCGTACACAGCCGGCCAATTTTCACAAATCCCCAGCTTTGTCTCGACTTTGTCTAGATTCGATTATTCATCTCGATTTTAACTCTTACTCCTTAGAAGTTTCTTTTTTCGCAAAAAGAGTCAACTTTAATTTTCAAGTGAAATTAGATTTGATATTTAATTAGCACCGGTTCAAAATCGTCATTTATTTCTACCAGAGAAAATTTTTTTTAATTTTTCAAAAAATTTTCTGAATGCAATTAAGAAACCAATCAGTAACGATCTCTCATTCTGTCATCTGAGTATTTTATTTTATTGCCAATTCGCGTTTTTTTGTCGCGTGCTATCCTTTTAGATAAGAATATATTGGCGCCAAAGGTGCCTTTAGAAAATTTTTAAAGTTTGTCAGTCAGAAGGGGACACGAATATTAAAAAGTTGACCCCCTTTGGTTGGTGAGTAGGCCAAATTTCTCTAAGAAAAAAAGGCGTACAGGCCCACCCCCCCCCCTTCAACCGACCTTCGCCTAAATCTACTCCAGTTATTTTCTGTTCAAAGCTTCTATAAACGTAACTTTTATAAGCAATGTGAACATAAGACATGAATGTGAACAAAAACAGCAGGTTGCTGTCCTAGTAGCTCAGGTTATTGCGTCCACAATCGTATACTTGATTAGAGTACTTTTTACGTAAAATGAGTTCTCTAAAAATTTCGCGTGTCGGAAAAGAAATAATTTTTTTTTAAATTAGGAAGGCATATTCGAAAATTGAAAAACATTAATAAAAAACCCAGCATTTTCTTTTCCAATTTTTTCAAGGTTTCTTTCCAATTTTTTTCAAATTTTTTTCCTCTCTTCAAAACGAAGTCAAGCTTTGCATTTTTTGAATTTTAAGCGGGTTCGCAAACAGATCAAAATCAACGGAATACGCAACATTACTTTACTACTTCTCTTGCTGTTTTGATTTCCACGACTAAATAGCTAAGACATGGCGCTCAAAAATGCTCCAAAAAAGGCGATATTTAGAAATCCCCATTACTATTTGCGGAATCCGGAACAATTCACTGGAATTGACAAAGAAACAACACAATATGTGTTTATTAAATTGCGCTGTTGCGGAATATACAATTTTAGGTGAAATCTGCAAATTTAGAACGGATTCCGCATTGTTGCAGCGACAATGTAACTGAGAGTATAAATGCATATGAAACTGAACAAAATTGTAAATGCATATAGGGACAGTAGCCGAGCGTAAACAGGGTGGGTCCCGGCGGGTTCGGCGCCGGTTCGAATCCCGCCTAGGGCATTTCCTTTCTAGAACTCAAATATGCCCCGAACTTATTGGGATGCTCCGTAACTAAGGTCGAACCCCCCCCCCCAAAAAAAAGACCTATTTTAACCGTCTTTTCGCTCTAATTTTGTTCAGCCTTCATTAAGTTTGGGCTTTAAAAAGAGCAATTCGTCTCAAGGACAAATACTGGCCAATTTAACAGCTTGCTTTGAGTTATTGCAGATGTTTATGGCCGATGTTACCGATGTTGAAGTATGTAAAAAATCGTTATGTTACAAAATTTCCAGAGCTATTTTACCGAGAAAATGCTCGTTAATTCACTTGTTTGAAATCTGATATTTTTACCATTCCTGGAGATTGACGCGCACATTTTGGCGCCCCACAAGGGACCTTCACGAGAGCTTTCCGGACATATTCAGAAGAAATTCACGGACTTTCACAAGAGGTTTTCCCGAAATTCGGAAGCGTATCACGGATATTCACGAGAGTTTTCAGGACAAATTCACGAGAGTTTTTGGACATATTCAAGTGAGTGTTCCGGGCATATTCACGAGAGTTTTCCGGACAGTTTCGATATCGTGAGTGCAATTGGTCAGACTCTTGAGCACAGTTGGGTCTATATGAGAGTGTAGCTGTTGGGACTCGTGACCGCAATTGGTCAGGCTATCGTCATTTATTTCGACCAGAGAATATTTTAAATTCAATTAAGAAACCAATCAGTAACTATCTCTCATTCTGTCGTCTGAGTATTTTATTTTATTGCTAATTCGCGTTTTTTTTGTCGCGTGCTATCCTTTAAGATTTGGATATATTGGCGCCAAAGGTGCCTGTAGAAATTTTTTAAATTTAGTCAGTCAGAAGGGGACAAGAATATTGAAAAGTTGACCCCCTTTGGTTGGTGAGTGGGCCGAATCTCACTAAGAGAAAAAGGTGTCCACCTCCCCCCCCCCCAACAACCGACCTTCGCCTAAATCTACTCCAGTGTTTTTCTGTTAAAAGCTTCTATAAACATAACTTCTATAAACAATGGGAACATTAGATATGAATGTGAACAAAAACAGCAGGTTGCTGTCCTAGTAGCTCAGGTTATTGCGTCCACAATCGTATACTTGATTAGAGTACGTACAATGAGTTCTCTAAAAATTTCGCGTGTCGGAAAAGAAATAATTTTTTTTTTTAAATTAGGAAGGCATATTCAAAAATTGAGAAACTTTGATAAGAAAACCGAGCATTTTCTTTTCCAATTTTTTCAAGGTTTCTTTCCAATTTTTTTCAATTTTTTTTTCCTCTCTCCAATACGAAGTCAAGCTTTGCATTTTTTGAATTTTAAGCGGGTTCGCAAACAGATCAAAATCAAGTTTTCGCGGAATACGCAACGTTACTTTACTACTTCTCTTGGTGTTTTGATTTCCACAACTAAATAGCTAAAACATGGCGCTCAAAAATGCTCCAAAAACAGGCGATATTGCGGAATCCCCATTACTAATTGCGGAATCCGGAAAATTTCAATGGAATTGACAAAGAAACAATACGATATGTGTTTATTAAATTGCGCTGTTGCGGAATATACAATTTTAGGTGAAATCTGCAATTTTTGAACGGATTCCGCATATTTTAAGTGGATTCTAGTTACATAAATAGTAGCGTATTTAAATCATACTTTTTCTTTACCAGGTCGACACCACCGGGTTCAATCTCAAATAATGTCAATAGTTGAGTCTTACCCCAAAAGTTCGACCACAACTCCTACAAATTTGCCCTCAAACGTTCGCCAACTTACCCCCAATCTCTATCCCGCCAACTGAACAAACTGAAGAAGAAAAAGCACTCCCACCATGCCAACTTACCACCAAACTTTGCCCACTTACCGTAATTTTTCCTGCTGTAACTTTTTTTTCAAATTAAAGTTTTTTCTCACTCTTAAGATTGAATCGACAAACTTTCAATTCATCAGTTATTTCAGTTTTCACTTTTCTTAAAAATACAACCAGCCGTCCATTTAAAAACCCGATTCCCATGAAACTTGCTCATATTGATTTGATTCTCTCTCTTCTCGTCTCAAATACTCTCGTCCATTAACTAAGCAAAATTGCCGGAAAAAAATTATTAGCCCGTTGCTGTGCATGTAGCAGACTTTTTTCTCTTGTGCCTTTTTGTGTGAGGAGTGATGATAAAAAAAGGCTTAGGATGTTAATGAGTTAAGCTGTAAAGACTCCTTCAAAAATAAATAAACAAGAATAAAAACTTATAGTCTGTTTTTTGCAGATTATTTTCTCAGTGGTTTGATCAAAAACGCTTCAAAAACAGCTCCAATGAAAAGATTATTGGAAATTAAAATTTCGCCGCTTTTAAGTAAAACAT